TTACAACTAGGCATTCTGTTGTGGCACCATTTGGCAAATAGCTTATATACCTGCATTTCTAACACAGATGCAGGTGTAGTTCTGCCAATGGGTGCTGCATTGGCAATGCCAACCTGTAGAAATGAAATCTGTGTATGAAGTGGTGTTTACATGAAAACTGGAGTTTATCTTGGTTGTAGGGCTTCTAGAAGCCCAATTTCTCCAAGCTACTTTTGCACATTTTCTTATTTCTTTGGGGGGTTTTTTAATGAAAGAAGGAACAGTCTTTCACTTTTATTACCTCGACTTACTTACTCGTTGGGGAAACTGTTTACTTTTACTTTACTTTTTCCTTGTTACTAAATTCCTTTTAACTTTGAAAATTGAGAATATTATATAAAACATCCACATCAATATTTATAGGAATGTCAGCACATTTTTGAGAGAAACTGTATTTTACACCAGCATGAAAGATAACGTGCTTTTTGAGATGTTCAATACAAAGAGCTTTTTGAAGTTTACAAACTAATTTTCAGAGTGTGTTTACCATATGCCATACTGTCTTGAACATCAGAATGTGGAAGAAATGGCCCTCTTTCTGGTTTAGCTTTCAGTGCTGAATAAAGTTTAGTTGGTATGTAAGGGTTAGGGTTTTGTTTTGTTTTTTGTATCTTCTGAACGAATAGCTGATGGCAATTCTAGACAATACTGAAGTGAGAAGGCCAGAAAGTGACAGAATTTTCAGTAGAGACACGCCTAAAGGTTTTGCTAAAGATGCTATGAAGCAAGCATGTAGATCCATGGCATTATTGGTGGAAGTCATTTAATTTTTTTTAAAAAAGATTTTATTTCAATTTGTTGTTCTATTTTCTAAAAGCAAAGGCACTGGATTTTTTTTTTATTAGTATCCACAATTTCTAACCTCTTGTTGCATTTTTGTACATGTAGGACTAAGGAAGTATCTCTTTTTGTAATGTGGGCATGACCCATGCTGTTATGTGTGGGGCTTTGGGGGCTGTGTGGGGGTGAGTATTTAATATATTGTATTATAGCAGAAAGATCTGTGAATAGCTTGTTAGCGTTGTTTGGTGAGCAACATCGTAACAATCACCATATTGATGAAAGGCAAAATTGCTTCTTCTTTCTGTGAACTAGCAAGGAAAATTCATACACTGGGAAAAGTTCTATTTCACTATTCTTTTCTGCCCATTCAGCTTGTTGGTCTTTACATTGATCTGGCTCTCTACAGGGGACTGGGTGGAACCCCCTTCTCCCTGTCTGATTTGCTAGGCTGGACTCAGCTCATCTTACACCATCAGCCCTCACCCTAGCTGTGAGCAAATAGGCTTCTTAGCAGTGTATGAGCCCAGGGGAGGGAATGGGTGTGCAATGTGTTGCAGTTGCATTGTGTAAGAGAACATAAATTAAACATGAAACCATTTCATGCTTCAAATGAGGGCTCGGGTTATTGGGGAATATTCCAGCCGCCACTGCAGTCAAATAAGCTGTGACTGAGGATCTTTGGGGTTTTAACATGTGACGTCTAACCCATTAGCCCTTTTGACAAGGAAGAACAGAGTGACGCCTTCCTGGGAGCAGGGAAAGTAAGACGTGCCAAATCTTTTATTCATCGTGTGCCACATTCTTGTGCAACAGATAGGTATAGAGAAGGAGTGGCAAGCCAGTGCTGCTCCAGATGTTGTTGGACTTCCATAAGCCAGCCAGCATGCCCATGATGGAAGTTGTAGTCTAGCCACATATGAAGGAGCACAGGTTCCCTGCCCCTGGTCTAGAGGCCTCAGTTAGAGGTTCTTAGTTGCATTGTGGTCTTGAGCTATGCCCTTTAGTATTTAGATAATTTGTATTACGTATTTGATTACGCCCAGGGTCTCTGTACCTCTGGGGCAGGGGAGATTGAGGATTTTCCCTTTTATGCCATTAAGAGTCCACTTCATGTAAAAGTTGAAACAATAAATGATCTATCTCCACTTTTGTAATTAAAAAGTAAGTTTAAGCATGTCATTTAAGGGCACGTTCTGAGCAGAAAAGACCTACAAGAGGATGGTAACTTTGGTGGATGTTAACTTTGTTAAGGCAGATGCTAACCAGATTCTTGTCAGTAGGTTTTTTTTTTAGGAATCCAGTATAGGCAAGGACAGAAACAACATTAAATGTTTGGTATTAGTGCCAATAAGCCACAGCTGTCTTGGCAACTAGTTACTTTGGGTTGTTGTTGTTTACACCCTGGTTGTAATCATGTGCATACTCACCTGGGAGTAAATTCCACTAAGTTCAGTGGAGCTTGCTTCTGAGTAGGCATGTATAGAATTGCGTAATAATAGCCTTCCGGGAATGTGGAGAACATAAGTAAAAATAAATGTGCCACTTTCTGAAATGATCTACCCCAACTTGAGAATAAGAAACTGGCAGATAAAATCACATGAAAGCTACATAGTCCACATGGCGACAGATGCTAGGTCTGCAAACAGGCCTCTGCCTTGACTTTTGTAGCAAGACAGCAATGCCTTCTTGGCGACCATGCTGGAAAACCTCCTAAAGTGGGCATCTAATGAGTTTCTTTCTCTTTCAGGATGCTGAAGTATCACAAATAAAAGGGACAGGCTAGTAGAAACTTTGAGAGCAGTTGCATTTTTATATAGACTTGCTTGCAATGTTGCATTTGTCCCTCCACCAATCCACATGAGGGATACCAATATTGAGCTACACCTGAAAGCATGGTTATGCCCACCCTTACATGAGCAAGAATGTATACCCTTATTAAATGCACAACAATCAGTTCTGGAGGGGATCAGCATTCAATCAATAATGGCAGCTGGAATGTGTTTGTTCTCCGCAGACACAGGCAAGAACCTGCCAGGTGACTAAAGTATGGGAATGTAGCCAGGTAGTTAATGTTATGACAGTCTAGAAGAATTTCACATGGGTACTAAATAAAATTTCCAGTTCCGGGAGCCAAAGATCAGTCTCTGATTAAATCGAAGCACAGTTTCAAACACTTGTCGGATGTTAGCGATCCATTTACAGGCTTCAGCAGGTTCGTTCGACACATTACAGTCAAGATAAGCAAGGGTGATGAGCAACCAGCCATCCAGCTTTGAAGCTGCAGAGGAAAGCAGAAGACCTCTACCCTCTCTCTAGCTCCATGGCTGGGAGAGAGGCTGTGGGTTGTTTAGCAGCTGCAAGTTAAGGTGTCTGGAGGTATTAAAGAAACAAAGGAAGCTGCCTTATAGAAATACAGTGGTACCTTGGGTTACATACGCTTCAGGTTACATATGCTTCACGTTTCAGACTCCGCTTACCCAGAAATAGTACCTCGGGTTAAGAACTTTGCTTCAGGATGAGAACAGAAATCGTGCTCCTGCAGCGCGGCGGCAGCGGGAGGCCCCATTAGCTAAAGTGGTCTTCAGGTTAAGAACAGTTTCAGCTTAAGAACGGACCTCCGGAACAAATTAAGTACTTAACCCGAGGTACCACTGTATCTATACATACAGACTAGCAGTGGATCTCTAGGATTTCAGGCAGGGATCTCTTCCATCCCTACCTGGAGATGACGGATTGAGACTAGGACCTTCTACATGCGATGAAACAGATGATCTGCCACTGAGCTGCTGACCTTCCCTATATGTCTCAAGCCATTGAGAGCCAAAACAGCATGCATCTCAACACCCCCATCCTTGACAGTCTTTCCTGCTCTATATCAGGAAAGGTGGGCAGGGGAAGACTGGACATAGATGGAAGGTGCTCAGAGCAGTAGTGGTCTCCAACTGGTCACTCTCCTCACTAGCCTTTCCATCTGGAAAGGTGAGGGCAGGGGGAGGTTTTGGTGGTGGTTCTGGAAAGTGTTCAGCACCCAATCTAGCATGCTGCCCTTGCACCAGCACCAAATATTTGCTGTTTCTGTCATTGTCCAAATCTGGCACTTAATGCTGATGCCTAAAATTTTTAATCTTGTGCTTAGGAATTTGAAAAAAAATGTTTTCCCAAATGCCAGCTGTTGTGCTTTCACCTGGCTGAAGGCAACTGAAAGTTGGCTCACATGAGCTGCAGCTGACAATGTTTAATCCAGTTTGAATGCTACGGGGCAGGGAAGTCAAATCTAGAAGTGTGATGGTGAAACCTTAGGCCTGTCACTTGGTCATGAGCAAAAAGCAGGTTTATGGGACCTTTTTTCACTCTGAGGACCAGAACAGAAACTTACCTTCACTCATGTGGGCCATTTTTTTATAGTTGCACAAGGCTCCCTGCCTGATATCACAATGGCATTAGCTGTCAGCTTCAAAAAAAGCTCTGTCAATGTTGATCGGTGCAGTTGGTGATCCTGCTTGCTAAGTAACAGTTAGGAATGCAGTTTAATCTCCTAATTGTCCTTTTGGAACCATGTCATTACCTGCCCCACACCCGATGCAACACCTGATGTCAAATGTGGGGCAGATGGGTATTGTTTGGAGGAAATGGCTTTGTGGGCTAAAATTAGGCATGTAGGCTGGAGGTTCCCAACCACTGGTGAAAAGGGTTCTGTGATCTGCCAACAGCCAGACTAATTACAGTCATTAACCCATCTTCATTAAGGATGATACTATCTTAGCTTAATAAGTTGAGACACGAATGGGCCTTGGCAGTGGGTGTACAACCCCTTCGCTCATCCTGTATAGTAGGAAATTCCTCCCCCCCTCCCAAGATCTTAATAAGTCTGCGTAACATATAGATTACAGGAAAAAATAAGTCTTCCATTAACTCGAGTTTTTCATTTTGTCTGAACTGGGAAACCATGGTTAACAGCTTTAGATGCCCACTTGTCTTTTCAGTGTCTTCTGCTGTATTTTTCTAGAAGGCTAGAAATATGACAAGATAAGGAATTTACCTGTCACACTTTCTGCAGGTTTTGTCCTTTGTGCCCCTTTGAGAAATGTGGGTGAGCTATATTTGCTGTTCAGACTGTGCAGTCATAGTTTGTCATTGAGTGTCTGTGTTCATAACTGATCCTTTTTTCCCCCTTGTAGGGAGGGAAATGAACCAGGGGAGTCCATGACGATCACATACAGTGAATTGCTGAGTAAAGTCTGCCAGTTTGCCAATGTTCTTCAGGAACAAGGTATCTGACTCTGCGGGAGTCTGCAAATTTGCTTGCCTTGGAAAGCATCCCTCCTTTCTCTGATGAGTGTAACAGGTCTTGCCATCCAAGCCTGAAGTTGGGGAAGAGGTTGTGGGATTTTCTTCTTTTTTTTACAGTTGTGCTGCACCTCCCAAGTGCAGAGCAATGCAGATCAGGCTGCACTTTCATTTTGAGCTGAGAGGAGGGATTTCATTTGATATCATGCTGCAGCTTATAGGATTGCTTCAGAAATATAATACAAAGGTCAAGACCCCACCTCTCCCCCACAACTTGGTAGAGGGGCAGAATTGTGGTGATAAATGCTGGAAATGGATTACAGATGTGTGCTAAACGAACTTGATCTTTGTGACTCTTAAAACAAAACAGCTTTGTAAGAACTTGTACAAAGAAGGGCATATATATACTTCCAGTATATTTTTAAATTACATATAAAACCGCACCACATCCATCCCAACATTGTTTCCGAGCAGAAGCATCTGTTCCTTCCAAACTGGGGCTTAAACAGAATTTTTGTTAAAATGTACTCTGATAAGATTATCTGCAACTTTGCATATACAGCTTTAGAAATTATTATTATTTGATTCTGCAAACTTGTATGTTTAACCATCTTTGCAATACTTTTTAATCAATGTCCTCTTGCTCACCCTTCTGATTTTGCATACCTCCATTGATATGTCTTATTTTATACAGATGTGGCATAATGTTTATCTACAGAACATGAAGAAATATAATTTATGATGCAGGGCAGAAACCAATGCTAGCAACAAATGTAAAATATGCAGAATATATGGATAGGTATCAGTGAAAGCGGACGCGGGTGGCGCTGTGGGTTAAACCACAGAGCCTAGGACTTGCCGATCAGAAGGTCGGCAGTTCGAATCCCCGCGGCGGGGTGAGCTCCCGTTGCTCAGTCCCTGCTCCTGCCAACCTAGCAGTTCGAAAGCATGTCAAAGTGCAAGTAGATAAATAGGTACCGCTCTGGCGGGAAGGTAAACGGCGTTTCCGTGTGCTGCTCTGGTTCGCCAGAAGCAGCTTAGTCATGCTGGCCACATGACCCGGAAGCTGCACGCCGGCTCCCTCAGCCAATAAAGCAAGATGAGCGCCGCAACCCCAGAGTCGGCCACGACTGGACCTAATGGTCAGGGGTCCCTTTACCCTTTACCTTTTATCAGTGAAAGCAACAAATATGTTTCAAATGATTGGTCTTATTTGTTTGTTTGTTTTTTATCTGGCAAACATATTGACATGTGGCTCGTGAATACAATGTGGCAAGGTGTGGTCAAATAAAGTTGTATTCAGCTTTAAAAAACAAATATCAGGCGATTGTAGGAATGTTGCCAGTAGTATCAGTGGATGGAACTACAAAATAAAATGCTGTTAATGTAAAGTAATCTTTTTCAAAGGAAAGTAAAATGTAACAAATGTTTGCATATAACATTTCATATTAGATACATCTGACCAGCAAGAGAACCCTTTGGTATATTTATATTCTAAAATGTTTAAATAGAAACATATCCTACTTAGCCTTAGAAACTTCTAAATACAAAACGGTGACTGGTTCCACTAAAGAGATAGTTGCACTCTTTACTGGGGCTGTTGTGAGAATTTAACTTGCTAGTGTTTTGCAAAGCAACATGGAAATGAAGCATCAGTGTGCTTCCTCTTCTTAGCTGTGGCTTGAAGAAAACATATTAACAGCATTTTATTCTGTAGTGCCATCCCTTGATACCACTGGCAATGTCTTTGAAGCAAAGATGCCCTTCTAAATTCAGCCACAATATGCTTCTCTTTCATTGGTGACCCCAGGGCAGATCCCATGATCCCAAGTCCCCCCCCAAAAAAGTTTTGTTTGTCATGCATACACTTCTGATCTTTCAGGAATTGTATGCTTGTGTTTTTGAGCCTCCTGACTTCTGTTTTTTCCAGCTTTGTTCTTTCTCTTGGAATACCAGGGCCCAGGACACAGTGGCTGAATGGCAAAAAGAGTGTCCGCTGTCTGGCATGAGAAACATCTCTTTCTCTTTCACAGGCATAAAGAAAGGAGACAGAGTTTCTATCTACATGCCAATGATCATTGAGCTGGTGGTAGCCATGCTAGCCTGTGCCAGAATTGGAGCAGTTCATTCCATTGTGGTAGGAAGGAGCAATTACTTCTGGTGTGATTTCTGTTCTTGTGCGGCACTGGCTGCAGATTGAAATGAACAGTCCTTGTAGCAGATAGCAACCTGAATTAAGCTAACTTTGTGTCCCTGAACTGGGTTTTTTTTTGGGGGTGTGTGTGGAATCTTGTGTTCCAGTTTAAGGATTTTTAAGCTTAGGTTTTTAGAGAATGTTTTCCGTGTTGACATTTGCCACCCAACTCCCTGAGCATTGCAGAGGATTCTGCAGAGTGTTCCAAGGCATGGTCTGTACATGTGGGGGTGTCAGCAAAGCTGCACATTGCAGAAGACTGGTAGCCATGGGCAAACTATATTTCAATGAAATATCTATGCAATTCTCATTGGGGGAAAAACTTGGTAATCATCTAAGGAACTCTAGAGCACTCTAGAATAGCCTTTTGGAAAAGTTATGCCACTAATATATTGTAAAAGTGCCATTCGTTAAGTCCCTGTTCACAATTGCAAGTGTGATTAACCGTGTGTTCTTGTTTTTAGTTTGCAGGTTTCTCGGCAGAATCCCTTTGTGAAAGGATCCTTGATTCCCACTGCTCACTTCTCATCACTGCAGGTAAAACAGTTCTCTTCTAAACTGCAGGGCCCTTAATCTTATCAGAATACTTTGCAAACAAGATTGACCTTTTAATGAAAACACCCCATGTTCAGCCAACTTTTTATGCTCTTCCTCTTACTAGGTAGGAGCTATTACTGGGTTGAACTGCAGTCCAGGGATATGTTTTGGCAGGGCACAAGCTGTGGGCTATACATCCGTTTCCTGATAAGGTGGAGTTTCATTATCGAAAGAGCCTCCTTCCACTTTCTTTGATGGTTTCTGTTGCTACAAGTGGTTTCAAAAATTGTGTCAGATTTCCTGGATGCAGTTCGGGATACAGTTTTTAGGCAGCAATCCTATGCAGCTGCCTTAATTTTCAAACTTAATAGTTGTCATACATTCCATCTCATACAATCTTTTTGGACTTCCATCAGCACCTCTGGTGATCTTCCATTTTTATAATTTGTTCTGCATTTCTTAATTTCATATTGCTTTAATTATCATAACTAATGTCATCCATTTCGTTCAATAAAGCACTAGTTCCAATTATTTCCCTTATAAAACTTCCTGCAAACCTACAAATGTAATCTGGTCATCACAACTACTTTTCAAATAGTCCGTAAATTTACGCCAATCTTCTGTGAACCTCTGGTCCCGCTGGTTTCGAATTCTTCCCGTTAAGTTTGTCTAGTTCTGCATAGTCCATCAGTTTCATCCTCCAATCTTCTTTCGTCGGTAATTCTTCTTGCTTCCATCTTTGTGCCAATAATATTCTTGCTGATAGGCATGGGATTGCTTTCTTGGTTCATGATTTGACATTCAGTTTGGCTTTTCATGCCAGATAAAGAAAAATAAAGGAATTTCCACATTCTGAAATCATGTATTAACTTAACAGTTCAAACTGTTTCTGTTTAATTTTGTAACACAATAAATCAATTTCTCCAAGATCTGTATATTAGTCTCCTGCCACTTGCTACATCATGTCGAACTAAAACAGGGGAAAGTCCTGTAAAATCTTCTTCCTTCTGATTGTTCCCCATAGAACACTTCCAAGATTATTGCTCACTGTAAACATACAAGGTAGGCCCTACCATTAGACAGAGTGATGTAACCACCTCAGGAGGAGCATCAACCCGTCACCCAGCCATTCTTGTGGAGCTCTCCAACCATCTCCATTCAGTTGGAGGGCAGAGCTATGTGTGGCACACAGCCTGTCCTGCACCCTTTAAAGTAGCCTGCTGTTCTTGGGTGAAATGGTGGGCACTATCCTGTTGCAAATATTTAAGTAAGACTGAGTTGCCAGTCCAGTTGAATGGGAGTGCCATCTCGTATAGCAAACTAAATATGACATAATAGGCATCACTGAAACCTGGTGGGATAAGTCCCACGATTGGAATGTAATAATGGAGGGATACAATCTATTTCAGAGAAACAGACCAGACAAGAAAGGAGGAGGAGTGGCGTTATATGTCAGGGATGTGTATACCTGTGAAGAGATCCAAGATTTAGAACCTCAAAGCCAAAGTGAGAGCATTTGGGTCAAAATTAAGGGAGAGAAGAAGAACAGAGACCTCATTGTGGGAGTTTACTATAGATCCCCAAGCCAAACGGAGGACATAGATGATGCCTTCCTGGAACAGATGGCCAAGCATGCAAAAGGAAGGGAGATAGTAGTAATGGGGGACTTCAATTACCCGGATATTTGTTGGATGTCAAACTCAGCCAAGAGCATAAGGTCAAACAGATTCCTCACTGGACTTGCAGACAACTTCATTGTCCAGAAAGTGGGAGAAGCAACAAGAGGAACAGCCATTTTAGATCTGGTCCTAACCAATGTTGATGACCTGGTTAGTGGGGTAGAAGTGGAAGGATCATTAGGCGCGAGTGATCATGCTCTTCTGAAGTTTACTATACAGCGGAAAGGAGCAGCCAAGCAAACTAGGACTCAATTTCTTGACTTTAAGAAAGCCGACTTCATAAAACTTAGGGAAGTGCTGGGTGAGATCCCATGGACAGTAATACTAAAAGGAAAGGGAGTTCATGATGGCTGGGAGTTTGTTAAGAGGGAGATAGTAAAAGCACAACTTCAGGCAATACCAATGAGACGGAAACATGGAAGGTGCCTAAAGAAGCCAGGGTGGCTATCTAAAGAACTTTTAACTGAGTTAAGATTAAAAAAGGATGTGTACAAAAAATGGAAAAGGGGGGAAACCACCAAAGAGGAATTCAAACAAATAGCCAGCACGTGTAGACACAAAGTCAGAAAAGCTAAAGCACAAAATGAACTCAGGCTTGCTAGAGAGGTTAAAAGCAACAAAAAAGGCTTTTATGGGTATGTTCGTAGCAAAAGGAAGAACAAAGAAACCGTGGGGTCACTCAGAGGAGAAGATGGTGAAATGCAAACAGGGGACACAGAAAGGGCTGAACTCCTCAATGCCTTCTTTGCCTCAGTCTTCTCCGATAAAGAAAACAATGCCCGACCTGAAGAATTTGGAGCAAATGATTCAGCAGAGGAAACACAGCCCAGAATAACTAAGGAGATAGTACAAGAATACTTGGCTAGTCTAGATGTATTCAAGTCTCCAGGGCCAGATGAACTGCATCCAAGAGTATTAAAAGAACTGGCAGATGTGATCTCAGAACCACTGGCAGTCATCTTTGAGAATTCCTGGAGAACAGGCGAAGTCCCGGCAGACTGGAGGAGGGCAAATGTTGTACCTATTTTCAAAAAGGGGAAAAGAAAGGACCCAAATAATTACCGCCCAGTCAGTCTGACATCAATACCAGGGAAGATTCTGGAGCAGATCATTAAGCAAACAGCCTGTGAGCACCTAGAAAGGAATGCTGTGATCACCAATAGTCAGCATGGATTTCTGAAAAATAAGTCATGTCAGACTAAGCTGATCTCGTTTTTTGACAGAATTACAACCCTGGTAGATGAAGGGAATGCAGTGGATGTAGCCTACCTTGATTTCAGCAAGGCATTTGACAAGGTGCCCCATGATATTCTTGTAAAGAAGCTGGTAAAATGCGGACTTGACTATGCTACCACTCAGTGGATTTGTAACTGGCTGACTGACCGAACCCAAAGGGTGCTCATCAATGGTTCCTATTCATCCTGGAGAAGAGTGTCTAGTGGGGTGCCACAGGGTTCTGTCTTGGGCCCGGTCTTATTCAACATCTTTATCAACGACTTGGATGATGGACTCAAGGGCATCCTGATCAAATTTGCAGATGACACCAAACTGGGAGGGGTGGCTAACACCCCAGAGGACAGGATCACACTTCAAAACGACCTTGACAGATTAGAGAACTGGGCCAAAACAAACAAGATGAATTTTAACAGGGAGAAATGTAAAGTATTGCACTTGGGCAAAAAAATTGAGAGGCACAAATACAAGATGGGTGACACCTGGCTTGAGAGCAGTACATGTGAAAAGGATCTAGGAGTCTTGGTTGACCACAAACTTGACATGAGCCAACAGTGTGACGCGGCAGCTAAAAAAGCCAATGCAATTCTGGGCTGCATCAATAGGAGTATAGCATCTAGATCAAGGGAAGTAATAGTGCCACTGTATTCTCCTCTGGTCAGACCTCACCTGGAGTACTGTGTCCAGTTCTGGGCACCACAGTTCAAGAAGGACACTGACAAACTGGAACGTGTCCAGAGGAGGGCAACCAAAATGGTCAAAAGTCTGGAAACGATGCCTTATGAGGAACGGCTAAGGGAGCTGGGCATGTTTAGCCTGGAGAAGAGGAGGTTAAGGGGTGATAGGATAGCCATGTTCAAATATATAAAAGGATGTCACATAGAGGAGGGAGAAAGGCTGTTTTCTGCTGCTCCAGAGAAGCGGACACGGAGCAATGGATCCAAACTACAAGAAAGAAGATTCCACCTAAACATTAGGAAGAACTTCCTGACAGTAAGAGCTGTTTGACAGTGGAATTTGCTGCCAAGGAGTGTGGTGGAGTCTCCTTCTTTGGAGGTCTTTAAGCAGAGGCTTGACAACCATATGTCAGGAGTGCTCTGATGGTGTTTCCTGCTTGGCAGGGGGTTGGACTCGATGGCCCTTGTGGTCTCTTCCAACTCTATGATTCTATGATTGTCCTTTGCAGCAAAATGTGCTGGGCAGGCACTGAAACCTGAGGCTCTTTCAGTAAGGTAGGTTTCATTTATTCCCTAGAGCAGGGATGGGAAGCCTGCAGTTGAAGTGCAACTCTCAGCATTGCACATTCATGGAGAAAGCTATCAAGGTCTACCGGCCATGACGGCTGTGCTCTACCTCCACCGTCGGAGGCAGCAAGTCTTCCTAATACCAATTTCTGGAAACCACAGTAGGGGAGAGTGCTCTTGTGCTCATGTTCTGCTTCTTGGTTTCTCACAGGCATCTGGTTGGGCACTGTGAGAACAGGAAGCTGGACTAGATGGGCCATTGGTCTGATCCAGCAGGCTATATTCTTTTTCTTCTTCTTTTTAGATTTTCAGTTTTACAATTACATCGTTTTCCATTCTTATACAGTAGTTCTTTTTTAGACTCCCCACTCCATGACAGTTATTTGTACATCTTGCTTAGCTGCATATACATTAATTCCTTCACCTTATTTTTCACATCGACATAACTTTTATATTATCAACTGTTGGTCACAAGGTATCCCAAACCTGGAATTTATATTTGAGATCATTTTTTTGTAAATAATCCCCTAAATACTCCCACTCACTTCTCATCTGTTTATCATCTTGATTTCTTATTCTAGATGCCATACTTGCAAGCCAGTAGGCTATTCTTATATTCTTATGTCATTGACCATGCTGGCTGGACTTGATAGGAGAGGGAATCCCACATCATATGAAGGGTCACAGACTTCAAATCCTTACCATAGAGGCCTCTACTGTGACCATGATTGGTCTTCACTTTAGCAAACTTTCTCTCAATTCCGTTGTTTCCATCCTTTCCTTTAAACCAAGCTATCCCTTTCTTCTTGTGACCTTCAAGTGCTTGCAGGCTGTTCTGGTGAGCCAGTTTAATGATTTGCTTACTCTTTGTAGATGCCTTTTATAGAGGTGATAAGCTGATTAACCTGAAGCAGATAGCAGATGACGCCTTGCAGAAATGTAAAGACAAGTAAGTCAGACTCCCTTTGAAAGTATTTGTTTCTTTGTGAATGTAAACACATGCAGTTGTGGTCTTAAACACTATAGCATCCCTGTCACAGAGGTGTGGATATAAATAAAGCTGGGGAAATTATGTGCCGTGTACATACACTCCTTTTGAAAGATGCTCACTCTGTCCACCCCACAGCATTTTGTTTAGAACTATAATAGCCTTTCTTGTAAGCATTTGTCCTCCCCTATCTGGTTAACTACTTCTGAAATGGAAGTTGCTGACTTTCCAGCACAAAATATTTGTCAACAATTAATTAGGGCAGGAAGTCAAAACATAGCCCCACTTCAATGACTCAGTTCATACATCATCAAGCCATTGGTACGAAAGCTTACCTATGGTTAAATGTTGTGTCTGAACTGACAAACCATTGTTTGCATATAAGAGTTAGACATTCTGTTTGGAGGAGTGTTTGGAACCCATGGTTTAGCAGAGGGGTGGGGGCCCTTTTTGACTGTTTGACTAGATTTTTATCAGTTCCACTTATGACATCATGATGACATCAGATGACTGATAGGAAAGTGGTTTTTCCATCCAATGAAGTAGCACCCCACAGTAAAGAGTGCTTAGCAATTTAGTGGTAGAACTTGGTTGATCAATATAATTTATCCAGCCTGCCTCATACTTCCATAATCAGCTGCACAGGTTCAAACTTGCTCAGGCAAATGACCTAGACTCTCTTCTTGGAATTGTTGTATTAAAATAGTTTGGGCTCATGACTTCATCTTCCCTCTCCTTGTAGGGATGCCCCTCTGCGAAGGTGCATTGTGGTCAAGCATTTAGGAAGGGAAGAACTGGTGCTGGATGGGCCAAGCAGCAAGTCTCCACCTCTCAAGAGAATATGCCAGAGTGTGCAGGTGAGTTTCCTGTTGTAAATGGGTGAAGGACCTGTTTAAGGGCTTGAGCAGCTTTTCCTTATTTGAGAGAGATGATTGCATGTTTATAATTATTCTGCCATCGGGAGTTAAGATTTGTTTTGCCCTGGTGCTTCTATCTGCATTGTAGAGAACTAGGCAGAACTGTTTAGCATTGCCAGGAAGAAATGCTATTTTCTCCCAAACAGCTCTTGCCTTGCAATTGAGATTGTTATGTGCGATATGGCTGTATAATAATCATACCCACTCACTGGATAGTGCCTGTGATATCGCTGCCGCCAAAGATTTGTGCTTTTAAAAGTTTACTTTCCTGGGCAAACTTCACTACTGGATCATGAGACTTATCATCAGGTCCTTCAGCAGAAAACAGAAAAATGGAGCAAAGTTACACTTCGTCCTCACTCTTCCCCACCCCCAGTTTCCTGCCATTCTAGAAAAGTTTATTCTTTAAAACTTATATGGTGCTAAAAGACATATGGGCCTCTTCTCACTTACATAGCAGAATTGTTACTTCCACCACAGATAGAAATCTAAAAGCTATCATGTGTTTAGTCCATGATACAATTAAAGGTCTGAAAACAGGACATTTTTGTGTGCATATTTTCTTTAAACTTGAGGCATTAAGTTGTCTTTGTGAGAGCAGCAAGCACACTAACAGAGTCACCTGCGCGATGAAATAAGCAGTAGGTGGGCTTCTCACCATGCTCTTGAACTAGGTTTAGATGGGACCAGGGCTTTTTTTCTGTGAAATTTATCAATGCTTGCAGTATGCAAGCTGTATTTACAATCAGAATATGGATGGGAATCACAGGTATTTCCATTACAGTAAGAGTGCAGAATCTATGCCCCTCCAGAGGTTTCTGGGCTGCAGCTCCCATAATCCCTGACCATTGACCATGCTGGCTGGGACTGATGGGAGCAATAGTCCAACAATATCTGGAGGGCAACAAGTTATTCATCTTGTACTACAGCAAGGTTATCTGTCTTTCTGTTATGTTTGTATGGATTCCTGCAAAAAAAAAAGAGGAACTAATTTGAACATAACTCTGAGATAGTTCCTGCTTTTACTGTTGGTTTATCATCTGGGAAACCCTCAGGTTGCAAATCCATTGGCACAGCAACATTCTCCCTTGCCATGCAGACTTCCCAGAGCGCTTCACTGTTGCTTGGACCCATCCCACTTAATCTTACAAATAAGTTGTAACCCAATGTCCACCTTGCCTTCTACAAACTAATCAGTTTATCTTTCCACTACCTTCCGCAGCACTTGTGCTGTTCCTGTAAACACACAGTGCTAACTAGATTCCCTTATCACAGCACCAGGGGAATAAGAAGGAATAATATTTTCTGGATAGCTTTTGTAAGTGCAGAGGTTTCCGGTGCCAGGTTTCTGTGCTGGAGATACTTCAACTTAGCCACAATCCTGTTGGAGAGCCAAGTGAACCTTCTCTAGAGGCTATTCTGTATTTCAATATATTGTAATGCCTAACGTGAACAGTGCTTGGAATTGAGGTTATGTGGTTCTGCCCTTGGTTCTGGTCCAGAAGCTTCAGCTATTTCAGAAACCTGCATCCAGGCTAGCGATGGAACAAACTATTGCCAGTGTATGGGCAGTGAAGACTTTGTTTACATTGTTTGATGAGCAACATATTAACAATGGCTGTATTGATGAAAGTTGCTTCCTTTTTTAGTGAACTAGCAAGGACACGTCATACTAGGGCAAATCCTGTTCTGCCCCCTTTTTATACCTGTTCAGCTTCTTGGTCTTCACGTTGATCTGGCTCTCTGCAGAGCACTGAGTAAAACCCATTTCTCTTTGGCTGTTTTGCATTAGTTCATTAGAAGCCTATTGCAGATGCCCTTTTTGTGTTACCTTAGCAGTATAAGAACTGGTTTTCCATGGCTTCATCCTGCACTGGAAAGCACAGGCTATAGGACCAGCCTGGGCTCTTGTATGCAGGAAGAAAAGCTCTGAAATGGAATCAGCCAATAAGCATTGTCAGGGATTGACCCGTTGCCTGAGCCTATGCTTTGCAGCTCATCTTTAGCATCCAAGAAGATGCACTTTTGCAGCCATGATGTGCACCCTCTCAGCTGCATCATGTCTTTCCTTGCCAGCATGGTATTTTAAAAGGTATAGGCGCCCTAGCACAACTCTTCCACTTCTCAAATCTTATATCTTTGTGAATTTTTAACAGGAAAAAAAGACTGAGAGCTCAAAGAGAGTCCATCCCAAGGTATTTACTGTGTAGCAGAAGCTTTCTCTCGGCACCCCTCTGTTCTGCTTTCCCTTTCCAGCACTCCTCCTCACTTACCTGCTCTCACTCTCGCTGCACGGCACAGTGTGGCCTCCTAACCCCACTTCCATCAGTTGCATGTTAGTCATAGACATCACTGTCCCAAGGGTTGGAAGGGAGCGTCGCGATACATGCCATGGCCTGGGATTGTTTGGGAGGGACAGTGACTCTGTTGTAGTCCTAACACTTTCTTAGTATCTTCTTGTATATGCACATGAAATGTAAAAGGGATTTTACACAAAACCAACAGAAAATGTCAAGGGGTGGTGAAGGAATGCGGGTCCTTGTGATATCTCTTGGGAAATAAGCACAGCTGGGGTCCTGAAACGGGGTTACATGATGCACAGCATGTTCACACACTGAATGGCTTGGTGCAGCTTCCAGGAGTTCTGTGCTCAGACCCCATTTCTTCACCTTAAAGCAGTTCTATGGGCATGTGAAGTAGCCCGTCTCATGCTTCCACCCTGACAGCTGAGCCAGCTCTGCTTCCACCAGCATTGTACCAAATGATTACTATTGTATGTAACAGGCTGAGATGTGGCTCCGGCCTTTATTGTCCTCTTTCCCATTCTTAGCTGGCTTAATCCAATCAAAATGGTTGCTCCTCTGCAGCAAAGTTGTGTTGAAAAATGATTCTACAAGAACGAAGATTTTGCTACCAGCTTTCCTGTACAAGGAGATTTCTATTACTAATCCTTGATTAGTAATTCTATTACTAGTAATTTCTTGATATTATTTTCCAGAGGTTTTGTCTTTTCTGGGAATTGGCTTGTTGCTTGATATTTGGAAAGTGAGCATGGTTTTGTATAACCTTCATGCTTAACTGCTGTGTACTCTTCTCAAGCTGTAAGCACTCCAAGCAAGGATTTGGATACAGTCTTTGAGCGGTGAATGAAAGAGCGCATACAGGCTCCAGAAGGTGTAGCCTCTTGGCAAAGGCAGTGTGATGCAGATACTACTCAATATGCACCTATCACTCTATCCATTAGTATATGCAGCAGTGACTGTTACTACTGTTTGCCACCACATAACCAGTGCGAGGTCCTGCTGGTCAGCAGCATGTGCCCCACAGCCTGAACATCATGCTAACACCCCCTGCCAAACGCCCTACCAACTGTGCAAGCTCTAGGGCAGCTGCCCCCACACCAGATGGACAGTGAGTCGATGCTGACTGACAGCATAGACATGTAACCACATTTTGCATTCTGGGCTTGCACCCTTGCCCTGGGCAGTTTTCCTGCTTACATATCATAGCACTACACTGAAAGATTTGTATTGAAACACTTACTCAGTATTTTTTTTCAGTAGACTTCAATACATGCTACAGGACACACTGGTGCTGTGCCAGCTTTTAATACTAACCTTTCATCACTGTTCTTCACAGGGAAGGAGATTATTCAAAAATTGCAACTCACATGTTCTTTTGTTAAAAGTGTAGGGGGAAAAGCTTAGCTATACAGGTAAGCTGCTGCTTTTTCTGAAAGGTGGCTTTATGGCTCCTTTCCAAAAATTTACCAGCTTTGGCACTGCACATTAGGCTGTGCAAAGGGGGTGTGAGAGTCCTACAGAAATTTGCATGAGGATATCCTGTTCCTGGTAGCACAAATACTGTTACGCCTTACGCAAACTTTCCACGACAGCCTTTTGACTGTGTTTCTCTTCCCCACCTCACCACCCATCAGCTGCCTAGACTGGGATTTTCAAAGATTTTTAAAAATTCAATGAAAATTGGGTACACAACACTGCATTTGTTTCATTTCAACCAGAATGCTTGTTTCGCCTAATCACTCTTTAAAACTATTTTGTATTGACTTGTTTTGTTTGCTCAAGCCAACTTCAAAGTGGGGTTTGCAATATTGGCTTTGTACTGAAATCATCTTATAGTTAAGCCTGATGTAACCAGGGGAGGAGCTATGTAGCAGTTTCACTTTACATGATACACACTCAAGAATCCAGACTCACTGTTCTATAAGCATTGCCTTTGCATTAATACCTACTAGGGTGCACTGTTGTTATGAGAGAACTGATAGTGTGCTATAGAGGATATATTCATTAAAAATAAGAGAATTCTGTGAGCCCAAAGCACTCACCCACATGGAGGCTGCCTGCCGCACCTCTACCAGCATACTGCTCCAGCCTTGTCTACTTCCAATCAGCTTCTGCTGGGGACAGCTAATTCTGCTGTTTCTTCATATTGGGTGCAATCGAATGATCCAGTTGTGCCCAGTGTAGCTTAAAATGCTTAAAATGGCCCCCTTCCATTGAGAAGGGGAAACTTGCAGCAGCAACACATAAAGAAACACGATGAGGGCTCCTCTGGAGTGGGTAATGCTTATTCTTTCAAAAATGTTCCACTTCACCTATCAGCTTAGGAAACACTAGTTTGATGTTTATGTTTTGCCCACCAATGGTTGGTTGCTGAGCTGTTTGTTGTAATGAGATTTCTGCTTAGCTCCTTGGGATCTGTTCTCCAACCATCTTCATCTGGAACACCAAATAAAGGTTCTTTTGGAAGTTAGGTCCCATATAAATAAATGGCACTTCATCCACAGTAATACTTTTAGCACCAGAATATGGATGCGTATAGTTTCTCCATAACTTAATGTTTTTTAATGTATCCATCCAGGTAGCAAACGGAAGCAGTCAATGATGAGATTGTTGATAGGCAGACACTTAGACCTGTGCTGAGAATAAATGGCTGCAGGCCATTGGGCTTCTCAAAGGCCTGAAGCCAGGGGTGGTGAATGGCGGCCCCCTAGATTTTGGACTACAACCCCCTTCAGTCCCAGCCAGCATGGTCAGGGATAATGGGAGCTGTAGTCCAGCAGTGTCTGGAGAACTTCATGTTGCTCTCCTTAGTATGGATGTATAATAACCATGCTTCACTTACATAAAGAGAACATATAAAATGGCTCTGTGCATGTGTATTAAATGCTGGAACTTCTGGTGGATTTGCTGCATGCCACCTTAGTGTGATATTTATAATTATCCCTTTGCCATTAACTCCCTAAGTGGCTCTTCCAAATCATTGTGTCTCAGAATCATAGCCCCTCTGGGGATCATAACACAGACCTACTTTATTTGGGGATTTATTATTTATGTACTAATTTTTATTTTAAAAAAACATATTTATGTTCCTCCTCTCCATCACAATTGCCCCCAAGGTGAATATAAAAATTGCAAGAATAAAATGGTTGATATCAGCTGATCTTCACTGGTGAGGGCCAGGAGTTAAAGTGTGTGTTGTACTTCATTTCAGAAACCTTTGTATTTCCCTTAGGCATTCTTGACTGCCATGAGGGAGTTTCCTTACCATTCCTGAATTGCTTCCTTTTATGCACCTTTTGTCCACAGCACATGCACAGAACATTCAAAATGAAGTGGTTTGGATAGCTCTGGTCTGAGCAGATGAAGTTGAACTGGCTTGCGTAAATTCAAGGACTTGTCTAAAATGCACTGAGATAATTTGTTCAGATTCATTAAGGGGCTTTCCTCATGCTACCCATTGTAAAGAACTATTTGTTCATGAAACATGAAGATGAAAATACAGTTATGCATACAGGGGAAGACAAATTATTGAAGTGGTTTATAATTATATGAAACACAGTGGGAGACACACACTGGGAAAAACTATTAATAGTTGCATATGAATATAGGATGTGCACACAACTGTTCTGATAATAGACTTACATATTCACTAAAGCCAAGAATGCAGACTTGGTGAATATTATTCCTGATCCATAGGGCTGTTGGTTAAGAGAATTCTAATAGTTTCTCACCCCCCCCCCCACCAGAGACTTTGTTTGACCTCGGGCAAGCTTGTATTTCAGCCTTTCAGTAAGAGTAGCCAACCTTACTGGATTGTTGTGACGATAGATGAAAGACTGTGAAGAACTTGCAGATCAAGTTTATATATATGCGATAAACAGCATTACTGGTAATAATTATATTTTCTCCTGCACTACATTCCTGTAGCTATTGCTTAGGCTCTGACAGATGTTCAGTAGCCTTTGTTTGCTACTTGGAAAAATAACAGCATTTAACAATAAGATCAGTATTATTAAGGCAGAATCACTAGGATTGATGAACTAATGACACCACAGTTTTGGTCAGAACTGCTCATTTAAACAGGTATCGTGGTGTGTTAACACTGTAGTTGTACTTCTGCAGCTATTAAGAAAGGAAAACGCTTTTAAAAATAGAAGAAAAGCTGAAACGGTGAAGTAGAGTTCTGCTTTAGAAGCCAAAATAATCAATTAAAGTGCAAGAGCTCCAAAGCTGGGTTTTTCCGACCATCTTGCTGTCTTTTAAGCATTATGTGTGCCTCTTACTATGTGGTTTTCTTCAGATACCTTGGAATTCAGACGTCGACCTTTGGTGGCACAACGTTATGAAGAATTCTAGCAAGGAGTGTGAGCCTGTCTGGTGTGATGCGGAAGACGAACTGTTTATTCTCTACACCAGTGGGTCAACTGGAAAACCGAAGGTATGTTCCTTTATTCTGATCCTGTGCCAAAGCATGAAGTGAAGAGTTAATATTTACTTGCCAAGTCACACTCGCTTGCTGTTCACTCTGCTGTGTGGACGCTTTGGATCCAAATGCTTACTGTTTTAATGCTTTCACAGTACTGGTCTGGAACCAGAAATGGGCCCTATCTCTACAAATACTTGTAACGTTAGTGCAACATTAATTACACATTAGTGTAACGAGACCTCTTGTATTCCAGGTGCTCTAGGTTACTTGGAAGGGGGAAAGTTCAATGGTAGAGAATGTTTTGCCTGCAGAAGGTCCCAGGTTCAGTCCCTCCCATCTCCCCATAAAAGGATCTCTGGTAGCAGGTACTGTGAAAGTTCTTTGCCCAGAAACCCCGTCTAGCTGCTGCCAGTCAAAATAGATGCCATTGGAGCAGTGGTCTGACTTGTTCTGTTCATGTGGCCCACTGTGAAATTCTGGGGTGGTGGCATTGTGTGTATATAAATACATGCAGGGTGCAGGACTGGCCACATGTATTTTTTCACCGATTATTGAGCAGCAGTTGGCATAAATAATTGAAGGAGGCACAGAAAGCCTAATACTTTTTAGTCTTTGCTATACATAGTACATATACACATTACAGGCTTTCTTCATAACAACATATGCTTCTTAAGCCTAAGCCTTGTATACATCTGTTTAAATTCACACGAGATAAGAGTCTGCGCATAATCTCTGAAGTGTTTATTTCACTGCTTGCTGTACAGAGCACTCACTTTACTGAATTTATGTGGTCAGTGGTTTGATGACTACAAAAATATCACATGAACTAATTTGGTTACCTCTCAGGGCTGTGTTTGGGATTGGTGCCACTATTTTCGCATTTAATTATGACACTGCAAGTAAACATTGTAAAGAAAAGTACTTCATGGTGATGTTTCCCTGTAAAAGGGAGTCATACCGCTTACCCTTGTGTGTGATTGAACTAACGTTATTGTTATAATGTGGTTAATGATACAGTAAAAATATGTTTCCTTCTCTCATGCTGAAGTTTTACTGATGTATTTGTTCAATGCAGTAGTGCTTGAGTAAAAAAATGGCTGGAACTAGACACATCAAAGTAGTGTTTCAGTTAAATGCATTGTAAATTTAAACAGGGAAAACAGGTAGAGAAAAACAGGACCCCACACTGCCATCTGATGGCACAATGTTATAGTGCAAATACAACACATATACAGTGGTACTCGGGTTACATACATTTCAGGTTACAGACTCTGCTAACCCAGAAATAGTACCTCGGGTTAAGAACTTTGCTTCAGGATGAGAACAGAAATCGCGCAGTGGCAGCGCGGCAGCAGCGGGAGGCCCCATTAGCTAAAGTGGTCTTCAGGTTAAGAACAGTTTCAGGTTAAGAACGGACCTCCAGAACGAATTCAGTACGTAACCAGAGGTACCACTGTAAATCGCTTTTTCTTTACCAATCTAGCTGAGTCCAATGTTGCTGTATGCTTTCTCATATAATGGAAATCAAGCCAGTAATGTTCTGTTTAATTCCAGCTGGTTTTCTTTGTTTCAGGGTGTTGTACATACAATAGGTGGCTATATGATTTTCACTGCCACTACCTTTAAATATGTGTTTGATCACCATCCTGAGGACATCTACTGGTGCACGGCTGACATTGGATGGATAACTGGCCATTCCTACCTCACATACGGACCTTTGGCAAATGGGGCAACCAGTGTCTTAGTAAGTTCTGTGGTATGCGGGGGCTGTATGAGGGTGGGGGAGGGGGAACTAGAAGCCTTACCAGGCTTACACAAACCAAGTATTGAGTGCCTTGATCAAGGTTGAATTGTATTGGTCTTGTCATGCAACATCCTCATTGACAAGAAAGCAGCTAAACAAGTTAGGTCACTGATGATGACCATGGCTCCTCAAACCTCGTTTGCACTGAGGTTCATTGCTGGTCAAGTTCTTCTTATTGTCATTCTTCACAAGCACCTTCTTCTGATTTGAGCCAGGCAGTCTTGCTGATTCAAATCAAGTCATGAATGGTCCCCAAAGATCTCTGTGCTCAGTAGCATTCTTTAGGCTACAGAAGCATTATAGGGCTGCAAAGTTTTGCACCCCACTTGCTGGAAGCAGCAGGTGGGGTGGTGGGTTTCTTCTTCTCATGCTAAATGACTTGTTTTCTGCTCAGTTTGAAGGGCTTCCCATTTACCCGGACGTTGGTCGTATGTGGAGCATCATTGACAAGTACAAGGTGACCAAGTTCTACACAGCACCCACTGCCATTCGCCTTCTCATGAAGTATGGAGATGAACATGTCCGGAAGTAAGACTCTAAGCATTTAACATAGAGTGGGTTTGCTAATAACCTTCCAGCATGGGGAATATATAATCTCAAACATGCATCACTCTAGAGAAAAGCAAACCCTAGAGCAAAGCTAATTCCTCCAGCTTTTTCCTCAGGAACAGCGTTCTTGTTTTACGTTTGTTCTATAAGATATGAAGCATAGGGGCCAACTCCTAGGGGCCAAGGTCCTTTCGGGGGGCCCAATAAAATATATGAGCGGGTTGCCCTTCCCCCCAGTTGATGGACATTGCCATTTAAATGGTGTGCATACACCACATCATGTGACTGATTCCATGGGGCGGGGCTTACCTCCCCCCCCCATATTTTATTTAAGTTGGCACCCCTCATATAAAGACAATGTGGGGAGGACAGTGAGAAAAGAGGGAAGGGATTATACTTGACTGGATCTTGGTGCTTCGTTTAAGCCCTGATGACTGCTAGAAAAGGTCTGTCTGAATCTCACCCCAGTTACTGTGCTTGCTCTTGACAGGAGGCTTTTGTCGGTTTCTGGCAATGTTCTCCTTGTGCTGCTTGGCACTCTCCTTGAAGGGCCAGCTCTGGAACTGCGAACCAGTTTTTTTCTTGTGGAGTTTTCCTCCCTCTCTTTAAAAACCTATCTGCTTCTTATGGCAGGTACAGCAGGAAGTCCCTGAAGATCCTTGGGACAGTTGGGGAGCCCATAAACCCAGAAGCTTGGCTATGGTACTATAGGGTGGTTGGCGAAGAAAGATGCCCTATAGTGGATACCTTCTGGCAGACAGAGACTGTGAGTTATTTGGTTCTTGGTTCCCTTTGTGTCTTGTGAATGATCTATTTGCCTGTTAGGATTTTCCTGCGCTCTCCCAAGTACTAGGTTTTGGGCGGCATTCAGCTTGGTTTTGCTCAGAGTAGACTAATTGAAGTAAACGAACTTGTCTAAGTAATGCCCATTGATTTCAGTGAGTCTACTCTGCATCAAACTTAGATGAATACCACTTCTTGAGTGGAATTCAATATAGTGGTAAGTGGGGTACGTGGGGGGGTCAGGTTTTCTCCCCTCCCTCACCCTGCATGCCCCCTAAACCTGTTCTGCAGGTTCCCCAATCCTCCAGAGTCAATTTAGGGGTGTGGGGGGTATGCAGAGCAAGCAGGCCCCATTCTGTACATGCAACAACTTAGTTGAATTCCACCTTTTTTGAGTTTTTGCCCACAAACTTGCTACAGTTTTTTCTATAGCAAAAGTACAGTTGCTTGGAAATGCATTGCTGCTACCTGCTGTGCCTTGGAACAACTCAGCTTCTCCTCCACTGCCTGGTATTGTTGTGACTGTTTTGGGTTTCTATCCTGCAGGGTGGCCATGTGTTAACTCCTCTCCCTGCTGCCATACCAATGAAGCCAGGCTCAGCTGTAAGTATAGATCTGATTGTTCTCGTCTGTTTGTGCAGCAGTACTTTTTGTCCCCCACCCCCCTTGGGCTTTGGCACAATAGTTCCACTAATAATCCTCTCACAAACATGCAGATAAATGCAAATTATTTTATACACACTTACATGTTTTAAAGCATTTTCTAAGGCAAAACCAAAGTGGGGTGTTAGGCTCTAAGTGAATAGCGGTTTTCCTTCCTGGAAATTGACTTATTTGCTGACCAGAAGCTTTGAATGTAATCTTAAAAGTTATGGAACCTTATGCGGTGAATTATTTGGGGATGGGAATGGAAGAACTTAGCCCAGATGTGAAAACAAGTCCAAAGTTCATTTTCTACCTTCCACATGTCTGCTTTCTCTGGGGGTTTAAGTTTGCATTTTCCACTTCTTCCAACTCCTACTATGAATATTCCTTGGCAGACGCTTCCTTTCTTTGGCGTGGTCCCTGCGGTGCTGGACGAGTCTGGGGAGGAGCTGGAAGGAGAAGCAGAAGGTTACCTGGTAAGAAAAAGTGAAGTTTTTATTGCTGGCTAAATTCAGTCTGTGTGTGGAGCTTCATGGGTTCTATATAGTCATTCCCATTTTGCATTAGTTCCATGTGTGGGATATCTGTCCCTTAACTGCTTCAGACAGTGGAGCAGAGCATAGCAGTCATGGTTCGTTACCATTGATAGCCTTATCCTCCATACTATTAAAGCTATCTAAATTGGTGGCCATCACCACTTCCTTCAGAAGCAAGTTTAATACTTTAGGGTGTGTGTGTGTGTGTGTGTGTGTGAGAGAGAGAGAGAGAGAGAGAGAGAGATGTGCGCATGCACACACACACAAAAAATAAAACTTTCAGCTTGACCTAGTGACGTATTGGCAGCCAGTGGTATTACTTTAATAAACGTGTTGCATGTTAGATGCTGGTTTCTCTAGTATGCAACCTAGGGCAGCCCCACATAGAGATTGTTCCAGTAATCTCTCGAGGGTACCAGTGCACAGTCTGCTGTGACTGCTATCTGTATCCAGGAATTGTTGAAACTTGTGTACCAGCCTAAGCTGGAAAAAGGAACTCTCAGCCACTGGAGCTACTTGGGCCTCAATTGACGAAGATGGGTACAGGTGTAACCCTAGACTACAGACTTGTTCCTTCAGAGGAAATGCGGCTCTGTTTGGAACTAGCAATTGACCAATTTCCTGGATCTGGGCACCACTCATCTTAGGCTCTCCACCTTGCCAGGATTCAGCTTCAGTTCACTGGCCCTCATCCAGACCACCACTGTGTCTGGACTTAGTATTGCTAGTTCCCCAAAGTTAGCCTTTTAGCGTTTACATGTGTAAGATACATATTCACTAGCAGATAGGGTAACCAGAGTGGGAATAATACCTGCTTAATTCTCAGGCTGCTTTGGAATGGGATGGTGTTTGGGAAAGCAGTGCAGAGGACAGGGGTTCAGCCCCTCCTTCTCAAATTGCTGCTGCTGTCTCAGTCAAAATTTGAGTCCTTGGCAGCTGCTCTTTCTAAAGGAAAAACACACACCCCAGTAAAAGTTGGAAGGGTCTACTGTTTAAGCATAGAGTGTGGCAACTCCTCAGCATTGTAATAAGTTTTGAGCTCAGCTCTGATCAGATCAAATTTCTCTCTGGGAGTGAAGAAGATTTGAACTATAAGAGTTGAACTGATTTTACACAGGAGCCTGCAAGTTGTCTTTCACCAAGAGCAAAGGATCATAAAATATATCTGCAGAATGGACCGTTGCCCAGAGCAGAGTCAAAGTGCCAAGAATGTGCATGGGTTGCTTGGGTGCTGTCCAGCTTCTATTTATGAAAGACGATACCATTCTGTATGTTCGTTTAATAATTACGTTGCAGAGGGCATCTGGAATCGCCGTAGTGATGCCATTGTGACATGAGTTTCCTGGAAAAAATTGAACACGAAAATTTCCTGCTCTCCTAAACCCACTGTGATCTGATTTAGCATGGTCTACTTGGCTAGAAGTTTTTTTTGGGGGGGGGGGCATGGCATGGCGGGAGTATGCCATCTTTCATTTTATGTTGTGTGTAGAATTCAATAAGGTAAACACTGGCAACTTTAAAGTAAACTATGATTTGATGCACTTTAATGTTTGCTCGTCCTCTCCTGAGTGTTGCAGCAGGAGGAAACAATTCCAGAGTCTGGCATGTGGTGACATTTGAACTTAGGCTTGCAGTTTGTTTCTTGGTGAGCTAACAGACCTTAGCTTCAGGTTGCGGTTTCCTTAGAAACAAACCACGAGCCCTAGTTTACATGCATTGACAAGCCAGATTATTGTCATGTTTCTGTCTTGTTTCCAGCATGGAACAGTTGGAAGGACCACATTCCCAGGGTTATGCCATGTTATAATTGCGGTTATCAGTGGCATATCTTAAGCCTAAACAATACATGTTGTATCAGACCCAAGGTATGTCTAACCCAGTTCTCACAGCAAGACGTGTGTAACTCATCTTGATCCTCAGTCACTAGTATTCAGAGGCAAACTTGACTGAATGGGTATTTGAACTCTGGTCTCCCAGGACAAAGTCCATCATTTGAGCCAATGCGCCATATTGAACTTAACACCCAATGCCTTGTGTGAGCATAGCATTATACCGTATTGAATCCTTTGTGGGAGGAGAGGAACAATTCTTTGGAAGTAAGACACAGCTTCACATGGGACAAAATGCTCAATGCAATGTAAAGGCATAGTAAAGAAACCCACATTTAATATGTTCTCTTATTTGTACTCTCCTTTTAGGTTTTTAAGCAACCCTGGCCTGGAATAATGCGCACAGTGTACAAAAACCACCAGCGGTTTGAGACCACGTACTTCAAAAAGTTCCCTGGTTACTATGTGACTGGAGATGGTAAGGTTCTACACGGAATCCTGTAATATTGACAGTAAAGCATGCTTCCTGTATAATGTGGTAGGGATTAAGCATGATGTATAAAAAAGAGGCTCAACATACTTCCTTTGTGCAGCTTTTTTTTTATTTCCAGCCCCTCCATCTGAATTCTCTTTAGAGCTATATGTATGGACTAGGTTTGATTCGTATTTGGGTTTTGTGAGCTTTTAATTTGTAGCCCTGGAATGAATGCTCAGATCTTGGCAACAAAGGCAAGAGGTCCCTTTATGAAATCCACAGTCCGCCCTGCTTAACTCCCTGGAATTAGGAGCAAATTGTGGGAGAAGGCGTGTGAGTCACAAAGGATATGGGGAACAAACCCCCTTTGGCACCCTTTATTTACAACAATTTGATTTGCCTGGAATTTGATTTGGATACTGAAGTTCAGCCCTGAAATATGCAATGCATAGGGTAGGGAGGCACTTAGGAACTGGTTCATTGGGCCTTTCCTTTTCCACTCATTCATCTTTGCTGGTCCCATGTATTTGCAGTTAGGCAGCAGGGCTTCTGGGCAATGAGGTGTGACTACTGCCTTTCACATTACTCTTTTTTGCTGTCTTTTGTTTCTTAATAAATACTTCGTGTCATTTGTTCACATTGTGCTGTGTACACCCACACCCACCCCAATTCTCCCTAGATGCTTTTTTCCCTAGCTGGCTACTTTACATTGGTCAATTTGCTGGTTTGTTTTTTCCCCCTGCCAGGCTGCAAAAGAGATAAAGATGGTTATTATTGGATCACGGGTCGAATTGATGACATGCTGAATGTTTCTGGTAAGAACAAAATCTTTGTGGAAGGTTTCAAGTTTCCTGTAAAACTCTCCCAATGATATGGTAGGCCTTTTTGACATGATATGCCACCCTAGGCTCATTTGGGAGGAAGAGCAGGATGTAAATCGAATCAATCCAAAAATTTGAAGGTGGGGTGTGTGATATGTTTCCTCCTCAGTACTGTTTAAAGCATGTGGCTGACAGAGGGTCAGCCAAGGATGAATGAGATGCTTGGGCCAAAAAAGGTTAGACCAGTGAATGCAAAAAATCAATAGTGACTGTGCTTGCATAATCAAATTCTGGCTTGATAGGCCAGGATACGTTTGAGCTTCATGTATACCCATGCAGCCTCTTTACTCTCATTCTTGCTTTGTGTGAATGGGGAAGCAGAGGAGGAAGCTGCAGTTAGATGTTAGTGCCTGATTTGTGTAAACTGGGAACTATGGTCACTGTCATCAAAGCAACAAGGAATCCTGGCTTGTTTGGAAGCCATTAGCCACCCGTGTGGTTTATACATAATACAAAATTATGGTTAAAAATGGTTTGTTTTTCTCCATGTGCAAAGCATGGAGTGCAATGGAATCATAGGGATTGATGCAGGTGCATAAAGCTTACCTGAAAGCAACCAATGTCTGAGCCCATCCCCTTAAGAGATTCTTTCTACTTTATAGTTTTGTCTGCCCCATTTTTCTTAGGGATTTTAATGTTTGTACTGTGGCAGTGACTCCTGCATAGTCATGGGGTTTTCAGGAAGCACATAATATCAGCTGCAATGTGACCTTTTGGTTTCCTTTCATAATGGTCCAAAGAGTCTCCATAACTATAAAATATCTGGGCACTTGAAAGCTATTATCTTTTCAGAGATTGAAATATCTAACATTTACATGTCTCTGGTTTTTGTTTTTATAATTTATCATGGTACATAGCACCATATCCACTCAAGTAGAATCAGTGCAGGCATACTCTTTGGGGAACTTCAAGGAGTCTTCTCAGATAGAATAGAGCAAAACATATTTTCCTCTTTTATCTTATGAAGTCCCAAAAAAATACAAAACAAACTCACCAAACTAAGAAATGGTTTGCTTTACTATTATTGGCTACTTTTATTTATTTTTTAGCTTTTACAAGTTGTACTTGGGATCAAACTGTGTTTTCTCCCATAGTACCTTTCTAGAATGCTATTTTGCAACATTTACATCTTGACCAAGATTTTAGTGTAAAGGGTTCCTTTTTTATTTAGGCGATGATATTTCTTTGGCAATATGCAATCTATGCCAATGGATAACCATGTTGGCCTCAGCCAATAGAATTACCTTAAGCCCTAGCCTTCAGAATGGGTCTTTGCTTGCTTAGTTATTTATTTTCATAAAACTTATATGATGCTTGATTGCTCAAAACAAAACTTCAGCTTACAAAAAGAATAAAACAATGAAGTTATCAGTAAAAAAAGACAGTTGATAGCAACTATATAAAATATTCAGATTTTTTTTTAAATAAGAAAACCCAATAAGCTAAAAACTAGATTAAAACCAATGTCAACATGGATAGGCTTTCCTAAATGAAGGTATTTTCAGCAGGTGCCGAAAACCGTACCGTGAAGGGGCCTGCCTGATGTCAATAGGCTTTTGTGGAAAACCTCTTGAAAAGTGAAGAGGCCTGGGTAGCAATGCCAATTTAAGAAAAAGCCCCCATTTCTTTCTGTTTGCAGGGCACTTGCTGAGTACAGCAGAAGTTGAATCTGCTTTGGTGGAACACCTGGCGGTTTCGGAGGCAGCAGTAGTAAGCCACCCGCACCCAGTGAAGGGAGAGTGCCTCTACTGTTTTGTGACGCTGAAGGATGGTCACGACTTCACAAAGAACTTAGTTGATGAACTGAAGAAACAAGGTAACCTTGGTAGACCATCGCATGTCGCTTGGCAAAAGAGCCAGAAAGCCCTTTTGGATTTGTGAGGTGGGTGCGGGAGGGGCAGGGTAGCATGCTGCACATGCAACAAAGGAAGAAGCCACCTTAGGCCAGGTTAGATTTTTGGTCCAACTGGTCACATCCCAATGAAGCTGAATGTTGGAAAACAAAAGGAAGTACTTCTTCACCCCACATGTAGTTAAATTATGGAATTTGCTCCCACAAGAGGCAATGATGGCTGCCAACTTGGATGGCTTTAATAGTGGATTAGAAAAAAATCACGAAGGATAAGGCACAGTAGTTATTGCCACTGATGGTTGTGTTCTCCTCCACCACCACTGTCAGAGGCAGTGTGTTTCTGAATAGCAGTTGTTGGAAACCACAAGAGGGCAGAGTGCTGTAGTGCTCAGGTCCTGCTTGGGTGCTTCCCATGGGCATCTGGTTGGCCACTGTGAGATCAGCATGCAGGGCTAGATGGGCTTTTTCTTTGTCCTTGGTATTATCTAGTCCAGGGGTCTGCAACCTTTAAGACAAAAAGAGCCACTTGGACCGAAGAAAAAAAACCTGGGAGCCGCAAAACCATTGCGACATTTAAAACAGTGGGGAGTGTCGGGGCACACAATGCGCCTCCTCCCCTCGCTAGCAAAGGTGTAAAAGCCGCCACATGCGGCTCCGGAGCCGCGGGTTGCTGACCCCTGATCTAGTCCAACTGGCAGTCTCTCTGGAATATCCATCAAAGGACATTCCCTTCACTTCTTACCCAGTTCTTTTAAAACTGGATATACTAGGTATTGAATTCTGGACCTTAGGCATGGTAAGCATGTGCTCAGTTGCTGAGCCAGGATCACATTGGTGGAGCGGATGTCACACCAGCCTGTTCAGCAAAAGGAAAGCTACCTGCTGGCTCAGATTTTCTCTTTTGGAGATCATTCTTCAGCCCTTCTAATCTTCCCGAGATGAAGCCCCACCCCCACAACTTGCATCATCCCACAGCCTGGCTGGCAGGGCAGTTTTCAAATAAAAGGTTCATTGCTTAGTTGTCCCAGAAGCTAAATTTATCTCTGCTGGCCTTATTGCCTCCCACATGTTGCTCTCCTTGCCAGCTGGCACCTGACTTGAATACATAAGGGCAGACCGCATGGCCCGTGAACAGGGTGTGGGTTTTGCAGTGGCAAGGCATGCACAATAACCCTTCCTTTCCCTTTGACAGCAGAGTTGCTGTAGAGGAGGGTGGGTTTGCACAACAGGTTGGTTTCCAAATTGGACTCTGGGGTAGCGGTATTTATCTGACCGAGGTCTTACGGGAACAGAAATGATTCGATGTGTTTTTAATGAGCGGAGCAAGACTTCCCCAGAGTGGCTGCTTTTTAAAACAGGCCTGTTGGTGTTAGTTACTCCCGGTCAGCCCCTTTGTCATTCAAACACTTGTGTTCTGCAGAATCCTTTCACGCACTCATCAAGGAGAAGAGTTTCTCTGAAAGACTATAATGAGAGACAAACTAATCCCACTTTCCACTGTGCAGCTGTGAAGGGACATCTGGGGTGTGCCAAGGATGACACCTGCAGATGGAACAGGCACATCAGGCTGAGCTAGTGCCTTCTGTGTACTGACTGTGGATCTAGACCATGCCCCATTGGAGTTCCACAACAGATGCAGAGAAGTCAGCATGGGAGGGGGTCCCTGTGGTTTGAGAAACACTGCTTCCTGTCAGAAATAAGAGCAAATAGAATAAAACTGTTGCATACCTTTTAGAAGAACGAATAAGTTCTAATTGGAAATGGGAATGATGAATGAAGAACCTCTGTTACAAAACTGAAGTGGAAACAATCAAGGAAGAATTTATATTACAATTTACAAATCTTATTCCTGAAAAGGGTTTTGTTTTCTGTCCCTACTATGTGTGTTAAAGTTGCATTGCAGTGTAACAGGGAGCAGGGGGGTGCTGTGGTGGTCTAAACCACTGAGCCTCTTGGGCTTCTAATTGCAAAGTCTGGCAGTTCAAATCCATGTGACGGGGTGAGCTCCCGTTGCTCTGTCCCAGCTCCTGCCAACCTAGCAGTTCAAAAGCATAGCAGTGCAAGTAGATAAATAAGTACTGCTGCGGTGGGAAGGTAAATGGCGTTTCCATGCACTCTGGCACTCATCACAGTGGCCCATCACACCAGAAGCCGTTTAATCATACTGGCCACACAACCCAGAAAACTGTCTGTGGACAAACGCCAGCTCCGTTGGCCTGAAGTGAGATGAGCACCACACCCCATAGTCGCTTTTGACTGGACTTAACTGTCCGGGGTCCTTTACCTTACTTATTGCAGTATGCTCCAACTGAGAATGCCAGTCATGCCCCTTTCCCCAGGATATTCCATTTCTCTCCTTTCCGGGTGGGATGTTGGTGTCTTGTTTAGCTATTCTTCCTGTTTGCATGGGTTTTATTTCCTCAAGTCACGTGCTTCATGAACGGTCCAGAGGCTATCATAGCTAAAATCCTTCTTTCATTTGCAGTTAGAGAAAAGATTGGCCCCATTGCAACACCAGATTATATTCAGAATGCACCTGGCCTGCCCAAAACCCGCTCAGGTAAGATACGGATTTTACAGTATATGTGCAGGAAGCACAGATCATGGTGCTGTAAATACCTCTTCCCTTACATTACAGGTTCTTGCTACTAATTGAATTTACATTCTCTGCTTTCTTTTTGGAAACACAGTGTGGGAACTGGGAAAACTAGTAAAGCTGTGAGTAGCTATTTAGTAGCCCCTGTTGTCTTGGAGCCTTGTGGAAAACATGGAAATGCTCTTGCCTCTACTGTAGGGATGGCATCACAGTTTGTTTTGATTGGCAGAAAGGATTTCTAGTATGTCACAAGGCAGTAGTGGCTTGTGGGGAAACCCAGCCAGATGGGTGGGGTATAAATAATAAAATTATTATTATTAGTAGTAGTATTTATTATTATTATTATTATTATTATTATTATTATTATTTATTTATTTATTGTAATGCCCATATAGGTCAGTGGGAATTGTGTGGACAGCAAGTCCCAAGGCAAGGTAGAAGTTGTTTACCATCATGGGCTTAATAGACCACAAGCTTAACACAAGTCAAGTGTGATGCAGCAGCAAAAAAAGCTAATGCTAATCTAGACTGTACAGAAGTCTAGTGCCCTCATCAAGGGAAGTAATAGTACCGCTAAGTTTTGGTTGTATGGCCATGTCTTGGATCCTTTAGTTGAGATTCCTGCATTGTAGGGAATTGGACTAGATGACTCTTAGGGTTCCTTCCAACTCTACAGTTCAATTATTTTATTGTCTTTGGGCAAGTTGCTTAGAATTTTACTCCCAAGTTATTAATTTTATTCAATTCATTGTATTTTATGTTTGTAGACTAATCTGGGGTCAAGAATCCCAGTGTATATCCTATTTTTAACAGCATGTCTTAAAATCCTGCGTGACTGCCTAAATACCATTCATTAATCATCTTTTTCTTGGAATGCAAGTACAGTTTGATGTTACACTGCCATTTCTTTGCAGGTAAAATTATGCGGCGGGTATTAAGAAAAATTGCCAAAAATGACCAGGAGCTGGGAGATACCTCTACTGTGGCAGATCCAGCAGTTATAAACCACCTTTTCAGCAACCGGTGTGAGACAATACTGTAGCAAGGCAATTCTAGAAGAAAACAACAGTAGTGCAGGGATTTGGTGAGAATATGGCCCCATTGAGACAATGACAGTGTTTCTCTTGAGATGAAGAAGCTGCCAAACGCTGAGCTGAATGTAAAATGCTGTAAATGAAGAGAAGAAACTGGTGCTCCAAGATCCAGTCCTTTTGTGTTGTAGATCTAGTTGTCTGTGCCTCTGGAGAACTGTGTGCATTATGTTGTAGACCGGTAACTACATATCTGAAATTCCAGCCTCATTCACGTCGTACAGAATGACTTAACATTTTAATTTTCATGGATTAGTTTCATGAATTGTTTATTTTATTTTTTTACCTCTTAACCTGCTGCAAATGGGCAGAGCTTAGAATGTGTAGGCATTGGTGTGAAAAGATGGCTTTGCCGAGTGGTAGTTAAAGGCTTTGAGAACCGACAAACTGAACAGTAATCCTCATGTTGAGGAAGAATTATTGGAACAATTTTTTTTTAGAAATCAAGCATTCATTAGGTTTCTTTCTTTCTTTATAAAATCCTGGATCCTCTGGCTGCATGCCATGGGAAAATCGAAGTTTATAGAAAAACTGCAACTCTGAAACTGTATAAAACTACTTTCCATGCTATTAATGACAATGACTTTCCCCCTCAAAAGGGAATAAGGCTATCTATTTGTTTTGGATTTTAATAGTACATTTGTGTATGTGTGTGTGCAGAGCTGAATTTTCCCAGTGCATCAAATTTTTTTGCGGGTGGAAGCAAATTCAGGGAATTGTAGTCATGAAAAGTTGCATTCAGTGCCTAGATGTATCCTAGAGGGAGGTTCATAAATTTTCTGTGGCTGTTGGTTGGTGCAATTCCTGTACCAATTGAATATGGGTAGGGATTCACTTGGATGGATGAGAAGCAGGTGCTGTAGTGATACCCAAAGTTTCAGTGACATGGGGCAGTTCAGTTACTTGGTTTTCCATGTGACCAGCTATGACACACAATCACATGAAGAAAATGGATATAGCCAGTGATTCTCACCTATGTTTCCTATGGCTGGGGAAAGCGTAGCTGCATTTGTGGAAAGTGTTTCCAGGTAAATTTTTATTTAGTCCAGTTTATGCTTCCATTTCTTGATATAATAATGGGCATATGTGTGACCAAATACGAGTTGCTACTTTTGTGGAGGGACAAATAATCATAACAACACTGTGACCATTCTGCAGACAACTATGCAGAGGTGTCTTTTCTCATGGTTGGGTGAATATATCCATCGTTCACAATACAGCAAAGTCACAGTTAAGGATTTGCTTATTCTAGGTTTTTCACCATTCAGGTAGCAAAGAAAAAAATATCAAATCAAGTTTAGGTAGAGATCATATGTGGACACATAACTGGGATCCCCCCCCCCAATAATTTGATCCCACAACTCAGACAAATTCCCTAATAAATGTAGATGAAAAAAAAGGCTGCTTGTCTCAATAAATTTTGTCAGGGTATGTAATTCTAGCACATCCTTCAGTGCTGCTGAACTGGAAAATGCCATCCTCCAATTTTTTAAATTGAAATCAAAGCTTTAACTGTGATAGCCACAATGGTGTATCCCAAGATGTCTTCTTTGCCCATGTAATTAAAGCATGTCCCGAAAACCATGTGCTTGATGAATAATTTAACATTTTTCTGACTTTGACTCATGGTTATACCTTTCTCATTTCTTACCTGCTGTTAGTATTCTAAATGCACTTGTCTGTGGTCTGCAACATTGGTGTATATTTAATCTAATGTCCTGCAGCATTAAAGGTAAGCCAGTGGCTTGCTATGTGCTGGTAACATGAAATAAGTCCTTTTAATCTTGGTCTGACATAATTTTGGTTGGGAAATGGCTAGAATTGTTTTTAACTGAAATAAATCAAAGAAATAAAATCTATAAAGCCGTCACAGTTGGTTGTGGATTTTTTTGTTTATGTTCAGTGCCTGGTTTTCATTTTGAAACCTAGACCAGACTTTGGCTTCATTTTGATATAACCCTAAAGCCGTGGTTCAGCACAAGATGAACAATCCCAGCATGCTTCTGGGCTGTTTCCCTCGCAAAGAAAGAGCTTGAAAACTTGTGCTTTCCTTACATGCAGTTTGCCGAAGCTAAGGCAACATTATTTTAAAAACACAGGCTTCCTTCAATTGATAATATAACTCAGAGCTGACTCACTGAAATTCATGGACAAGAAACTCCATTAATTTTATCACTGATGGTTTTCCATTAGATAGCAAGGTGCTTTTATTTAGAAAACTCATTTAGACAATTGCTGAGAAAATATGTCTAAATTGTTACCTTTTTTTCCTGTTGGTCCTTAATACTGCGCTCTCAAGACATGTTAATTTTATAAGCCTCTCCTCTAAAGACATATTTTCTAGGCATAAGAAGTTTGTAGTTTAAAAAAATAGGTTCAAAGGCCTTGATCCAGAAAGATCCATGTATAAACTCAGATGCTGCTGTTTAGAAAGAAAACCAAAGCCATCCCAGCTCTATAAACCCCATCTTTTAAAAACAATATTGATATGCTGTTTCAAAGTAACTTATCTGACTTCATTAAATTTCCCTATCTTAAAATGGCACATAGCTTGGTTTTGTAGGTGAGTATATTCCAATTGTTAATGCTCAGGGTTTTGTTTTGGTGAGCAGACATCTTCCATAGTTTCAAAATGTTTGAAAACTTTAACATGATTAAGTTCTGCTTCTTTCAAAAAAATCAGCAGATAGCATGTTGAACACAAGTGTATTCTTCAAAAATAAATATGTTCAGATTCTGAGCATACTATATTATGTGACTACTGGATATTACTCACCAAAGTAGCATAGGAGAGACCAGATTGATCAACCAGTTATTTCAGCTGAAATAAAATCTGAGATCCTTACAACTTATGATATCACAGGACATTCTTATTACCGTTGTTTGTCTCTGAAATCTGTTTCCCAAGAGCTCACCTCCATTTTCTTAACCCTCTTTCTTTAGCATACACATTCTGCTTTTTCAAAATGTTACAGGAGGGGTCCAGGAGCATTGAAATAAAATCAACTCTTGTCTGGGGGTTTTCTTTTCCTTTCCTACTGTGTCCCTTTTTTCCTGTCTCGGGAAATGCCTGATTAAAACATCAACAGATTGTCCATGGTCACAGTACAGTAAAAGGGCATGAAGTCTGTGAGAAGCATGCTAAGGGTGCTTCAAACAGGAAATTGTCAAAGAAAGTCAACTGGAATCCAGTATTTTCTTGAGACCAGGAAGAAGCAGTGCAACTCTGCCTCCTTTGTATCTTGGGGTCACTGGTGAGAGGAGGGCTTCCAGTATCAATCTGATTGTCAAGTCCGCCCGTTGGCAATCATGCCCTAAAAGAGAATGTCTCTTACTTTAAGCACAGTGAGGATTATGTCAGTGATGAGGTATTCTGTTTTCATATCACATAGGGAGTATCCAGAACAGCCACTCCAGCTGCTACTCCGCCATCTGCATGTTCAACAGCCTTTGTTCGCAAGAGATGGCCAACATGCTTGTTCACCACAAGATCCTGACCCAGTCTGCAAGAGAAAAATCAAAAGGACTAATTAAATTCATATAGTAACAGTTTTGACTCTGCAGTCTCACCAAACTCCTGCTTAATTAACAGTGCCTGCTTGATGTACAGTTTGCTAGTATTTATATATGCATACTGACTTAAGAGTTTTACAACTCTTACAGAATTATGCATCAGCAATAACCATTTCAGCAGGCACAATGGAGGGTTGTGTGATTTACCCACCCAGAAATTAGTATCTGCTTTAGAATAGATGCATCTAATGGCTTCTATATACACCCACACACCACCTACTAAGCAATGTGTGTTACACTATTGTCATTAATTATATTGCTGCCATAGCAATAAAAATGTAGGAGGCTGCTTTATATTGCATAAGATCATTGGCCCCTCCAGAGACCTGTTTATTGAGCACTCATCCAATTTGCATACCCAGAGGTTGGATTATATCTGCTCTTTACCGATTATTCATTTTGATTTGTTGGCAGAGCAGGTACACAACTGATAATTTGGCCTGCATTCATGCTAACACAGAATCAGAGTTGGAAGGGACCCCAAAGGTCATCTAGTCCAACCCCCTGCAATTCAGGAATCTCAACTAAAGCATCCCTGACAGATGGCCATCCAACCTATGCTTAAAAACCTCCAATGAAGAAGAGTCCACCTCCTTCCGAGGAAGTCCACTCCACTGACTTACGCACATTCCCGTAAGCCAATGCATTTCTCCATGTCTTCTGAAAACAGAAGTGTTGTTTTTTTAAAGCAGATTTGTTGTGCTAGGCAACAGAGCCCTTTAATCCACTTTAATTGTACCTAAGGTTCCAACATGTGCTTTAATACTTCTTGCATAATAGACACCCTCACTGACAAAAGTGCTGTATTGTTTTTCACAGCACTACTTTGGAGATGCTACAGATTGCACCTGGAACACATGCTATGGATACAGAAAGTACCACCAATGAGCTCTGTAACACTTCCATTGCTCCAGAGTTCCTGTCCAGTGACACATTATTTAGCCCAGTACTAACCAATGCTATGCATAGGAATATAAAACTATTAAAAGCAAAGGCACAGACCCAGTAAGTAATGTTACTTTCTCACCTGACGTAGACGCCAAAAATTCCCAATTCAGACACACATTCTGATACTTTCAGTGGACTGTGAGCCCTCAGTAAATAATTCAGTGCAGGGAGAGGCTTTATCTTGTCCATGAGAATGTAGGAGGTCCTTTCTGGACTGTCTTTAATTTTCTCTAGAACCTGCTTGAGCTCTTCACCATAGAGGTTGTTCCCTGACAAACACAGCAGCAGGTAAAATGAATTCACTAGAGCTGGAGTAGCTGGTGGATAAAGGTGTATGTTGGGTCCCTGTAGCTACCCCAGTAAGTACAGAACATGAAGAAAAGCAATCACTGACGACTGGCACCAGTGTAAGTGGTAAGCAAGCCAGTGGGCTTGAACCATCAGCTGATCCATGGGTGTGTGGGGGTGTGTGTTTGGTTGGTTGGTTGGTTGGTTTGGGAGAAATGATCCTGATCCAAAATGTGTAGAATATGCTTAGATAATGCTTCCACAACATTTTGTTTTATCAGCTAAATTGCTTCTAACCTTTTTTCCTACCAAGTTTAAATTTCTGTTGGGATACAGTACTGGAAGAAAGCACTACAGAATTATTTGCTACAGCATCAGGGAAGACAATTTGTCCCTAATAAGCTACTTTTGTTCTTACACAATTATTTAAAAGGTGTGTGCGTACAGATACCGTATTTTTCGCCCTATAGGACGCACTTTTTCCCCTCCAAAAATGAAGGGGAAATGTGTGTGCGTCCTATGGGGCGAATGCAGGCTTTCGCTGAAGCCTGGAGAGCGAGAGGGGTCGGTGCGCACCGACCCCTCTTGCTCTCCAGGCTTCAGGAAGCTATCCCCCCAGCCCGGCAAGCTCCCAGAGCGATGCCAAAGCTGCGCGCACCTTCGCCATTGCTCTCCGACCCGCTCTGGGGGCTGGGGAAGCTCAGGCTTCCCCCACCCCCAGCCCCGCAAGCTCCAGGAGCCACTCTGGCTCCCATTCTGGGGGCTGGGGTCGGGGGAAGCTCGGGCTTCCCGCCCCAGCCCCATGCCTGGGGGGGGAAAATAATAATTCCCCCCTTTCTTCCCCCCCCCAAAAAATCTAGGTGCGTCCTATGGGCCAGTGCGTCCTATAGGGCGAAAAATACGGTAAGTCCTGATCCTTGAACCAGGCTGTTGACTCATCATACACAAAGAGAACCAGTTACTGACCTCCTCCCTCACGTTGTGGCTTTAACACAAAGCGGTCTGGGTCAGCAATAGCCATGGCAATTATCTTATCACCTTCTTCATCCTGCAAGGAGGAGGAGAAAGGGGAGATATATACACATACATTCTCTCTCTCTCTCTCTCTCCTCCCTCCCTCTCACACACACACACACACACACACAACAGCACAAGTTTTGCATATATATTTTTTTCAACTTTGGCTTTAACTAAGTTCTATTGCCTAACAAATAAAATTCTTGACAAAACAGATTTCACAATGTATGAAGACTATAAGAACACATTCATCACAACAATCTCCTCAGATGTTGTACCGTGCTGCATTTTTAAAAATACATCCAGTTCAAGGCAGTGTACGTATCCCTCTACGCATTACTACTTACCATCTCCATAGAATAAAGGCCAGTGAATGTTGCTCTTAATCGAGCCACTGCTTCTGGTTTATTTGGCAGTATTTTTTCCAGTGTTCCTGGTCGGCTCAGCTCCTGCTGAACTTTTTTGGTCCCAGCAAGCTGTGTGGCAATATCAGGGCACTTAACTGCTCTAGATCTTTCCAACAGCAACCGTGCCTCCCAGTTCTTTCACAAAAACAGAAAAAAGATAATTTCAATCAAGGTTCTATCTAACAGGTATTGTTTAATATTTCAAAATTGGGAGTTTTATGCATTCAAATACATGGGTAGGTGCAGAGGTTGACACTAACTGGGATCCAAAGTACCATCTTCTGCTTGCAGAGGGGGTTTTCATATTTAGCCTTGCAGCTCCACACACCTCCTTCCAAGCCATTCAGAGAATCACCCCAAGAGGCAAACCTAGGATCAAGTGGAGGAACCATAAGCGGCTGGGTCCCTCCTCATGACCCCTTGGAAGGGTGGCATTGGTAAGAATGATATAATTGTATGCAGATACACACGCCACTGCTACTCAAGGCACAACAAAACCTAGCAAAAACTGATATTTTCAGAGCTCAAACTGAATATGTGGCTAGAAAACATTTCTATTTACCCATGATAGCCACAAGCCTGCATATAGCAAGTCAGCTAAAAGCACCATGACTATTAAGAATCATAGAATCATAGAATCATAGAGTTGGAAGAGACCACAAGGGCCATCGAGTCCAACCCCCTGCCAAGCAGGAAACACCATCAGAGCACTCCTGACATATGGTTGTCAAGCCTCTGCTTAAAGACCTCCAAAGAAGGAGACTCCACCACACTCCTTGGCAGCAAATTCCACTGTCGAACAGCTCTTACTGTCAGGAAGTTCTTCCTAATGTTTAGGTGGAATCTTCTTTCTTGTAGTTTGGATCCATTGCTCCGTGTCCGCTTCTCTGGAGCAGCAGAAAACAGCCTTTCTCCCTCCTCTATGTGACATCCTTTTATATATTTGAACATGGCTATCATATCACCCCTTAACCTCCTCTTCTCCAGGCTAAACATGCCCAGCTCCCTTAGCCGTTCCTCATAAGGCATCGTTTCCAGGCCTTTGACCATTTTGGTTGCCCTCCTCTGGACACGTTCCAGTTTGTCAGTGTCCTTCTTGAACTGTGGTGCCCAGAACTGGACACAGTACTCCAGGTGAGGTCTGACCAGAGCAGAATACAGTGGCACTATTACTTCCCTTGATCTAGATGCTATACTCCTATTGATGAGGCCCAGAATTGCATTGGCTTTTTTAGCTGCCGCGTCACACTGTTGGCTCATGTCAAGTTTGTGGTCAACCAAGACTCCTAGATCCTTTTCACATGTACTGCTCTCAAGCCAGGTGTCACCCATCTTGTATTTGTGCCTCTCATTTTTTTTGCCCAAGTGCAATACTTTACATTTCTCCCTGTTAAAATTCATCTTGTTTGTTTTGGCCCAGTTCTCTAATCTGTCAAGGTCGTTTTGAAGTGTGATCCTGTCCTCTGGGGTGTTAGCCACCCCTCCCAGTTTGGTGTCATCTGCAAATTTGATCAGGATGCCCTTGAGTCCATCATCCAAGTCGTTGATAAAGATGTTGAATAAGACCGGGCCCAAGACAGAACCCTGTGGCACCCCACTAGTCACTCTTCTCCAGGATGAAGAGGAACCATTGATGAGCACCCTTTGGGTTCGGTCAGTCAGCCAGTTACAAATCCACTGAGTGGTAGCATTAGTCAAGACCGCATTTTACCAGCTTCTTTACAAGAATATCATGGGGCACCTTGTCAAATGCCTTGCTGAAATCAAGGTAGACTACATCCACTGCGTTCCCTTCATCTACCAGGCTTGTAATTCTGTCAAAAAACGAGATCAGGTTAGTCTGACATGACTTATTTTTCAGAAATCCATGCTGACTATTGGTGATCACAGCATTCCTTTCTAGGTGCTCACAGACTGTTTGCTTAATGATCTGCTCCAGAATCTTCCCTGGTATTGATGTCAGACTGACTGGGCGGTAATTATTTGGGTCCTCTCTTTTCCCCTTTTTGAAAATAGGGACAACATTTGCCCTCCTCCAGTCTGCCGGGACTTCGCCTGTTCTCCAGGAATTCTCAAAGATGACTGCCAGTGGTTCTGAAATCACATCTGCCAGTTCTTTTAATACTCTTGGATGCAGTTCATCTGGCCCTGGAGACTTGAATACATCTAGACTAGCCAAGTATTCTTGTACTATCTCCTTAGTTATTCTGGGCTGTGTTTCCTCTGCTGAATCATTTGCTCCAAATTCTTCAGGTCGGGCATTGTTTTCTTTATCGGAGAAGACTGAGGCAAAGAAGGCATTGAGGAGTTCAGCCCTTTCTGTGTCCCCTGTTTGCATTTCACCATCTTCTCCTCTGAGTGACCCCACGGTTTCTTTGTTCTTCCTTTTGCTACGAACATACCCATAAAAGCCTTTTTTGTTGCTTTTAACCTCTCTAGCAAGCCTGAGTTCATTTTGTGCTTTAGCTTTTCTGACTTTGTGTCTACACGTGCTGGCTATTTGTTTGAATTCCTCTTTGGTGGTTTCCCCCCTTTTCCATTTTTTGTACACATCCTTTTTTAATCTTAACTCAGTTAAAAGTTCTTTAGATAGCCACCCTGGCTTCTTTAGGCACCTTCCATGTTTCCGTCTCATTGGTATTGCCTGAAGTTGTGCTTTTACTATCTCCCTCTTAACAAACTCCCAGCCATCTTGAACTCCCTTTCCTTTTAGTATTACTGTCCATGGGATCTCACCCAGCACTTCCCTAAGCTTTATGAAGTCGGCTTTCTTAAAGTCGAGAAATTGAGTCCTAGTATGCTTGGCTGCTCCTTTCCGCTGTATAGTAAACTTCAGAAGAGCATGATCACTCGCGCCTAATGATCCTTCCACTTCTACCCCACTAACCAGGTCATCAACATTGGTTAGGACCAGATCTAAAATGGCTGTTCCTCTTGTTGCTTCTCCCACTTTCTGGACAATGAAGTTGTCTGCAAGGGCAGTGAGGAATCTGTTTGACCTTATGCTCTTGGCTGAGTTTGACATCCAACAAATATCCGGGTAATTGAAGTCCCCCATTACTACTATCTCCCTTCCTTTTGCATGCTTGGCCATCTGTTCCAGGAAGGCATCATCTATGTCCTCCGTTTGGCTTGGGGATCTATAGTAAACTCCCACAATGAGGTCACTGTTATTCTTCTCTCCCTTAATTTTGACCCAAATGCTCTCACTTTGGCTTTGAGGTTCTAAATCTTGGATCTCTTCACAGGTATACACATCCCTGACATATAACGCCACTCCTCCTCCTTTCTTGTCTGGTCTGTTTCTTTGAAATAGATTGTATCCCTCCATTATTACATTCCAATCGTGGGATTTATCCCACCAGGTTTCAGTGATTCCTATTATGTCATATTTAGTTTGCTGTACCAGGAGCTCAAGCTCATCTTGTTTATTTCCCATGCTTTGCGCATTAGTGTACAGACATTGAAGTCCATTAATCATTCCCCCGTGTCTCTTATTTAAGGATTTTCTCCTCCCACCACTAGGTCTGCATGCTCTTTGCTCCATTCGGTCTATGACATTTGGATGATCATCTTCATCAATTGATAGACTCCTACCTTCAGGAGCACTGTCTCCCTCCCCCACATTAGTCAGTTTAAAGCCCTCCTGATGAGGTTTCTGAGATTTTTTGCAAAAACATTCCTCCCAACCGTTGTGAGGTGCAGCCCATCGCTTGCCAGAAGTCCATCTTCAAGAAACTGCATTCCGTGATCTAAGAATCCAAACCGTTCCTGTTTGCACCATTTGCGAAGCCAGTTGTTCACTTCCACTATTTTTCCCTCTCTCCCTGGGCCACGTCGTTCAACTGGGAGGACAGATGAGATGACAATTTGTGCATTTAATTGCTTCAATTTCCTGCCCAGAGCCTCGTAATCTCTTTTGATCTTCTGGAGGCTATTGCTTGCAGTGTCATTGGTTCCCACATGAACCAAGAGGAAGGGGTATTTGTCAGTGGGTTTTATGATTCCTTGCAGTCGTTCAGTTACATCTTGGATCTTAGCCCCGGGGAGACAGCACACTTCCCGAGACATCTTGTCAGGCCCACAGATCACTGCTTCTGTTCCCCTCAGTAGGGAATCCCCTATCACCACTACACGCCTCCTCTTAGGTCTGGTCGGGGTTCTTCTGTGAGCTGTCGGTTCCAAGGTCGCCTGGACATTCCCAGAGGACTGCCTTTGCTCCTCGTCTTCATATACCTGATCGACTGTAATGAGGGAGAGATCCTCAAATGGAGTCTGCTCTTCGTCTTCCATGCTAGGGGAAAGGACCTCAAAGCGATTGCGTATTTCTAAACAATCAGAGCGAACCCTGGGCCTCCTACTTCTTTGAGTCACGTTTCTCCATATATCTGGCTCCTGTGTTGGTGAACTAGCCACCTTCTCAGGGGAGTCCCCTGTCTCTTCCTTGGTGGAGACGGTGTGCTCTGTTGCTTCCAAGAAGAGTTCCAGCTCTCTAATTCTTTGGAGCGTAGCTACACGTTCCTCCAGTTGCTGGACTTTGTCTTTTAAGAGGGCAATCAACATGCAATTGCTGCAGGTAAAGCTGCCTGCAACCTTTGGCAAGATGGCAAACATTGCGCAGGAACCACAGGCGACTGCAGCTGTTCCCTCACCCTCCATCTTGGGAACGTGTCGTTGGGGGTGACTACAGTGGTCCTCTATCATAAAAAGTGTGGAGACAGGACAAATAAATCCCTCCCAAAAAACCTAGGTCTCCCCCAACAAATGTTTGAGACTAGCTCCCCTAAATCTAAAATATGGATCAAACTGACCTTTGCCCAGAGAGAGCAGCTAAACAGCCACAAGAAACTCACACAGGAAAACCCTTTTTGTTCCTTCTTCAGCTGCTGCCCTAAAGCTCTGATAAGCTCCTCCCACAGCTAATCACCTACCTCAACAGAAGCCCTGCCCCCTCTGACCTTTGCCCAGAGAGAGCAGCTAAACAGCCACAAGAAACTCACACAGGAAAACCCTTTTTGTTCCTTCTTCAGCTGCTGCCCTAAAGCTCTGATTAAGCTCTGAAGTAACCTGCCAATTCAACTGGAAACCTCATTTTAAAAATATGTAGATTTAGATGGCATATTGAGGCAAACAAGCCACCAGTCTCTCAGCACCGAACAAGTTAAGATATCACTTCCACCAGCTGGATGTCTTGGGAAATTGGCTGAACTACTTCTAGAATTAGCTGTTTGATAGAATGTATTCAGAATTCCCCAGGTGATTACCAAACAACTAAAGAATTACACATACACTGAATTCATATTTGGGGTCCAACTGTGCCAAGGATAATGTCACTTACAGTGCCGCAGAGCTTGCACTCAAGATTTCAAGACAGTGGATGATATTCAATGTCAATTAGAGTAGACCCATTGCAATCAATGGACTTAATTGTTTCAGTGGGTCCACTCAGAGTATGACTTAGCTGGGTATTACCCAGTAATACGAACCTGTTTGTTATAATTCTTTGGCACGTAACCTTCTCTATAGTACACCACTGCAACTTCCTCCCCATCTCTGAAATAAAGATAAGGAAAACAATCAGTGGTTCCTTCAACATTGCTCTCTCACACACAAGATTAAAATATTATATACAATACATTCTACAGATGTAGGATTCTGTTCCATTTATGAATTGTTTTCTAATCCTGCAAGAAGGGACTTACAAAATAAAGCTTTCAAATAAATTACCTAGTGGATCAATAGATCACAATCTCTCTGCTTATGGATACAAATATTAGTTCCTTTCAGAGTTCTTTGGTGAAGTCTATATAGCAACTTTCCATGTTTTAAGTTGTGTATCAGTAGTACATAACTGAACATGTAAGAACTGCATAGCAATGGAGTTTCCAAACGAGTAGCATGACCTGAATCTTGACAATCTGAACACACTTGTTTTATTAACAGCAACATTAATGAAAATAAGAGTCTTCATTAAAACCCCGGAAACATAGCAGATACTTAATGTTTACATAACAACCCAAAATGCAGTTTATTATGCAAACTGCGGGAGGCAGTGGAAGACAGGAGTGCCTGGCGTGCTCTGGTCCATGAGGTCGCGAAGAGTTGGACACGACTAAACAACAACAACAACAACAACAACAACAACAACAAAGCAGCATATCAAAGTGGACTTATTAGCACTCCCAACATCAGCCTGTGTTATTTTTTACATATGCCAAAACTACAGCGTGAAATCCTCCTTGAAACCACATATGGGCTATCCACACATTAAGCTAAAGTTTGTGTGCTCACTATACTTACATATGCAATCTCTTGTCATTGTCCAAAGACGCTTTTTCAAACACATCTTTAAATCTTCTTCGGATCACCCGGATATTCCTTTAGGAAACAGACAAGAAATATTAAGGCTAAAGTCCTATACACAATTACCTGGGAGTAAGTCACAATTGCATTATGAGATTAGCTTTATATATGTTCATGTTATAAATCCTGCACTGTATTTTAAAGCTTAGTTAGGAAAAGATAATGTAGCTATATACAATATGCATTGAACTTCTAACAGTATTGAAGAGCCCACTTTTGTCACAGAACCTTTCTGCAGTGAGGTATCACACAGAGAACAATCCAGCCTGTTATAGCACAGAGGATGTCTACTCTGAAGTATGTCCCATTAATTTCAGTGGGGCTTACTCGGAGGTCAGTGGGTATCAGATTGCAGTTTTAAACCCTTCAAGTCCTGTTAATTATAATAGGAGAGTTAAATGCTAAATCATGTCATTAGGTTTTACTAGGACAACAGTCTTTTTGCACCTTAAAAGTGTAATGAATTTATCTTTAAAAAGTATTATTTAGCAGACCCCAAAAAAATGTCATTAAGCATGAATGATGTAAGTAAGACCAGATTTCACAGGACTAATTAAATGGCATTACATGAAACACTTCATCTTATTAGGTGAAAAAAATTACCTCATCCAAAGTTCATTTTCTACACAGCGTTGGTCAAAAATATTCCTCTGAGCCTCTTCAACTAGGAACATTACCACTGCTCTGAAACAAAAACAGAACATGTATCAATATACTAAGTTTCCTCATTTAAAAATATATTTTTGTGCTTCTTACTTACTACTATTTACAGCAGCTGTACTGAAAACTTCTACAACAGGCCAAAACTACAGTGCCAGATAATACTTGCAGGACGGCACAATAGAGTGCTGCTTTATACTGTACATTTGCCACTCCCTGCTGTTTCTACGCCTTTCTTCTACATCTTTGTGCATGTATATGACAATTATACAAAGAATCAAACAAAGAGGAGATATCCATAATAAGGAATTTATAGTTTAACATCTGAAAGGTTTCCTAATAATCCATGCATCCAACAGCTAGGGTCTTCCTTCGAATAGTTATACTAGCTTTGTGGTCCTACCCTATAAGAGGAAGTGGGTTAAACAAGTAGTTAAACAGTAGAATTATATGTAAAACAGCTTCAGTTGATTTATCTAGCTGGGGAGAGAAAGGTCTATAAACAGACCCTCCTGGTTCAGTAAAGAAAAACCCCCACTACTGCTGGCATTGTTTTGCAGGTAGTGGCCCTGAGACCAGTTTTTCCATCTATGCCAAGAGACATTTGAAAGGAGATGTCTTCCATAACATACAGGAATATTGTTGTCCCCCTAAAGAAGGGAATGAAAACCTACTGCATAGGAAGATAAAATTCTCTTTCCCAGTTTCCCTTCATGTGCCTATTCCTATCATACACTTCCTTCAATATTCTATAAGATGGAGGGCTTATTTGCATTTTCTTGTTTGTGAAAACAAGAAACAGAGCATATTTAATGCAGATGAACAACAATCATAGCTATGTAGAGCTTGCAGTTCTCTTCCCCTACCTGTCTGAGCCGTAGAGTTCCCAAGCTTTTGCAATGCCCGTGGCAATCCCTTTGGCTGGATTATTGGTCAGTAATTTTGAGGCTTCCTTAGATTTCCCTAGAACGTTCAACACATGCCTGCAATTGGGATGCATATAGAAAAGTCACACAACAATTCACTGTACACAGCTGCAATTGAAGAGCCAACCAATTGAGATGTAAAGTACAAATGCCAACCATCCTTTATGAATGGTGCACGTGTGTAGAAAGTTACTTTTGCATGCCAAATATATGTAAGCCCAGTAGTTGACAGTAAAGTCATGGCGACGTAATCCAGCTAATGCGTCCTTTCAGCGCAAGGATTTCCACTTGCGAAATAAGACTTTCTCCACCTCTCCTCCCCCTTGTGCCCCTTCCTTCCCCAAATTTGCTGCAGAGGGCTGCGGGAAACCCTGGAACAGATTTGGGGGGATACATGGGGGGACAGTGTCCCATCGTGAAAGAGGAAATCAAGTTATGCATGTTTCCAGGTACTATAAATTAATTTTGCACTTGACAATAGATTCCTGAAAGCTATATATAAGAGACAAAGCTTTTCCAAAAGGACACAACATGCTACTGTGTCTTCTCTGATTGCACTGCCCAAGTGCAAAAATCAGAATTGGGATCAGAATTCAATATTGTAAGAACCTCAGATTTCAGATTTCATTTTTCATAATAAATAAGTCACCTGAGGTTGTGATGGCCAGCTGTGACAAGACTCACTGAGAGTCACATCTACAATGCTACTGCTTGTGATTCTCAGAAAGGAAGGTGGAAATGCTAGATGCTAGATTACCTTCTAGGCTGGTGCAACAAAGAGGCCTAGATAAGATACACTGGCATCACACAAGAGCAGCAGGCTCAGTTCAAGATCACACACATATTGTGCTAGCCTAACTCGGCCCATTGCAGGGGTTTCTGTTGGCTACTGCCTGTAAGGATACTGCCAATAGTAGCTTTTGCCTCTCATCTGGGCAAAGGCATTGGCCAGTGGAGCCAGGCAGAACTGGGTGGAGATACGCATCTGCCTCATCCAAACCCCCTCCAGCACAGCAAATCAGGGTATTGGTTTGCTATGCCAATTTTAAAGTGGCTTCTGTAACATGGGCAGACATTGCCAGGTAGTCTCAAAAGCTAGATAAGGGAAGAATGAGCAGTAGGTGAGGGGGTAGGCCTTTAGCATCTTGTCTAGCTCTTTGTACCTCACCAGTACAGCAGAATTATACACAGCCTTGGCGAAAGGATAAGACATGAAGGACCATCTATAAGCCAGCTAGAAGTTGTTTTGCTGAAAACACACACAGAAAGACACACAGTCTGGAAGTCCTTACCGATGCACCGCAGTGGTTCTAGATGTGAGGCCTCCAAAGCTGGCAGCAATAGTGTTTATTTCTATTTGCTTTAGAGCTGGAGTGCCTTCTGCACCATAGTCAAACATGTAATCAGAGCGATTAATTCCTAAAAACACAGACTGGACAAGGCAAAAAAAGTAGCAAGAAATGGAGCAGCCATCATTCCAAAGAGGATTCTATACATTATCTGTCAAGTGCCAACTGAGCTAAAAACATCTTATGGGGGAGGTGGTGGTGCTTTGTTTTGTTTTTGTTTTTATTATGCATTTCATGTTTTTACCTTTTATTTTTATGCTGTGAACCATCCTGCGATGGATGGTATACAATTTTAATAATAAAATAAATAAAAAATAATAATATTTTGACAGTTAAAAACATCATATTTGATTACTGTGCAACTACCATATTATTTATTTAAACAAAAAATAGACACCGTTTGATTGTAAACAAACAACCCTCAAAGCAGTTTACAAAGAGAATTAATACAATTATTAGTAAAATACAGTTTCAAACAACTATTAAAAACACTAAAAAACCAAACATATTAAATCATATATTATCATGGAATACCTGAGTTATTCCTTCTTTCAAAACTTGCTTGTAGATTTTGAAAAGCTGAGCTGTAAAGTCATCTACTTTGACAGTACTAAGAGGAGAGAAAACAAATCTTATTTAGTACTCAAGCCTGCTGTGACAAAACAAGGAAATTATCATTACAATCTTTTATGTAAAACCATTTGATGTTAATACTTCTTTGTCAAGCCTGTGTATTGTGGCCTTAGCTATAATGGCAAGATGATTTCATGTTATACCCCAGCTCTGAACATATTACATGAAAGATGCTAGTTCTATGAAATCAGGAGGGCTTATGTCTACATAAATGTTTAAAGACCTCTTGTGCCTTGAATAGCTGTCTGACAATCTAAAAAACAGCTGGTGAGGCTTTACCTAAGGATGAAAATTTTGCCTCCTGAAAACCTTTCCCAAGGGGGAGGGGGAGGAAACTAGCAGTCTTGGAATCATGTGTCAGATTTCACAAAGCTTGTGTTCACACAGAACAAAAACATGCATTGTAAAAGAAAGCTTTAGTTGTTCTCTAACCTTTCCTCTTCAATTAGCCAACTGCCAATCAGGCTAACAGGCAAGGGAGTTAATGATTATGAGACATTTAGGAACATTGGGTTGAAACTAAACTAACCTTAGTACAAATCAGAAGTACATCCAAGATTAAGGAAGTTTAAATGCAAAGTTCTTTTTTCCTAATATGTAATACGTACCTTGCAAGAGTGCGTTCCAGAAATTCTGTGTTCCGGCTAACTTCATCTACCAGCAGGTTAAAGTCTTGTTGAACTGAATAGGCTTGCTCAAGTAGACTGCTTGGTACTGCAGATGGGAGCAGTGTAAAGGGAGCATAATTCACCACCTATTGACAAAGGTTTAAAAATGAACGTGTCAAGAACTACCACTTCCTTCCAGTAACAAATCAGGTTAAGCCCTTTTAAAACTTGGGAACATACAGGATGAATATAGGGGATACAACAGTACTAGAATGGAACTATACGTGCAGTAATCTGGGGTGCGGTGAGATAAGGTGATGTAGGAGCAGGGAGGTGAGCCACCTAAGAGCTACAAAGGATAAGGTGAAGGAAATGGGAGTGAAGAGTTCCCTTTCGCTCCATGCAACACACTGACTGGCCTGCTTTTATTGGGCAAGTTCACACAGCCAGATTCCTCTATATAATATTAATTGCAAATATACCCTCATGTGGAGGAAAGCTAGGGCAAAATGGCAAGGGTCAGTTCACACTACTGAATTTCTCCAGTTATGTTCACTGCATGAAGAAAGGTTAGTGTGAGCTGGATAGTGCCTACAATGAACATTAGCAAAGTGACCATGTGTTGCAGGCGTCTGCAAGTTGGGACTATGTTGGCAATACATATGTGAACATTAGCACAGACATAATGAAGGGATGGGGACACAGTGAAGGATAAACACACTGACTGACAAAGTTGTTTATCCACACAACTGTATACATGACAATTTGGAGACAGATTTATGTGAATTGTGTGATACATGCAATGAGCCAACAGCAATCTCCCCCATGTGCCTGCCCAATTCATAATGCATGGTGCTCCAGTGAAGGAAAAAATGGGCTATTTTATGGGTGAAAGTAGGAAACTGTCATGGCAGCATAAGGCTAGGATGTAAAAAAAAAGTCTGGTATGGCTAACGTCACAAATGTACAGTGCATCCTGGTGAGCCCCACTCTAGAATCCCAAAGCTTTCCCCTTCCCTAACAACATCCCGACTATGTTGTTACTGGGATTTTTTTCCAAGTTTTACCATCTTCCTTCCATAGGTGTTGGATCATGAAATCTAGTTTTGAGCTTACATCAGATGCATTGGGGTCATCTTTGGTCCTCATGAGAACACCTTCAAGTAGTGCTGAATCCACTGCAATTGGTGCCACATGCTGAATGAGTTGGACATTACACAAAATGTCTTTCCAAGGGGTAGTCATTGTGAAGGCTGAGGCAGCAGAGAATAAATCTGAAAGCATTTTAAAATAATTACCATAAGGCAGTGGAACCTAACATTTGAAGGTGGAAGAAAAACACTGTTTCAGAAATTTATGGTAATGGAATCCTAAAGAGGGAAGCAGTACTGTCCAATGATTTTTCTGCCTGAAGTGGAGCCCCCTATTAGGGTGAAAACTTTTAAAGAAATCTTACTTTACCATTCAGTGTTTTCTGCCTTCATCAACTATCTGCCCTTCACTGCCACCCTGAGCTCATTGAGAGGAAGGTAGGGATATAATTTTAATTAATAAACAAATGGTGCTGGCTGCAGTAGGCTTCTTACCCTACTCCATGGCAGAACCAGCCCTGGATACAAGCTAAATAAGCATCTAGGTTTAATGAAGCACTATGTAGCCCTTTGTGCAAGTGTAACAACTTCTGCTTTCACAATGGGACTTTCTCCTCCCCCTCCCCTAAATCTGTTTTGAGGGCAGATCTGGAATGACAGGGAGTGGCACAATAAAGAAGTATCTCCATTTTTGTTGCATAAAATCAATACAGAATAAATGTTTTCATGTTTTGTTTTATTTATTGCAAGCTGTCCAGATAACTTTGTATTATGGGGTAGCATGCAAATGCTGCATATAAACATATAAATTTTATTTTCCTTTGTTACAATGCGTATCTTTCTAATGAAATAATGGACAGGCTAGAAATTAAAATGGTGAAGGTATCATTTCCCCTACACTCCCCAACCGCAGAATGTACATAAAGTGCAGCTTCACTCTCTGCTGTTCATTTGTGTGAACAAAGCTGCAAAACAAATGTCACACTGTCATCAATTTATCACACTGTCCTTTTGTAACAACTCCCTGACTGTGTCTGCATAACCTGAATCCAGCAGTCAACACTGTGAGGATGAGCTCCCAGAATGCAATGTGGTATCTATGTTTGCACATATTAGACAGGTTAGTTAGTCATATTAGGATAAACTGCATTGATTGAAGTATTCATTCGTGTTAGAGGAATCTGTCAGTTTCTGAGTATTTTAAATATAGCTCCAAAGTGCATCTGGCAGTTGTACCACTTGGGCAGGGCTGTGGTCCATTAGCAGTGAGGTATGATTTCAGGTACCAACAAGTAGAATAATTAATCCCTAAGGATATGGATCTCAACTCTTCATGTCAAAACAGAACTCGCATGCTTTAAACTCTTAAACAAACTCAGGCTTATGACAATAGCTTGTTCAAGAGAAAACCTGTACACAAAACCATACTGAAAAAGGTTGTTTAGCTGTAATAGTCATAACGACTACAACATTTTTCAGCCTTTTAAGTAAGCAATTTAAAACTCTCCTAGATCGCATACACTTGTCACATGCACACCCACCCTTTCACTTAAATTGCTCAGGTTGAACCAATTGAGCAGCTCTTTAAGTACATACACATTTAGGAACATTTTTTACACCACATGCCGGGAAAAACCTGGACGTCTACGGACATTCCATAATGCATACTCCTTGTGTGTCACAAAGGTAGTGCAAAGAAAGAATGATAACAAAACCGCAGTGAAATTCAACGCGACCAGATAAAATTCAAACTTTCTTTAAAATATTATTTCTGGATTATTTTAATCAGTGCACCAAATCACTGAGGCAGTGGGAGACTTAAAGGAAGTGGGGGGGGGTCTCCCACGGCAAACCCAAGGAAGCAAATGCTGAGTCATTCACAACCCAACTCCAGCACGTTAGTTTACAAATGATTGTGCAGTTGGAGAAAATCTCTGTGTATGCATGTAAATAGCCTTCATATTTCAGACTAGATGCCCCAGTGATACAAAATGCTCTCTGTCTCTCCCCCCCCCCCACCTACTCTTCCTTCATAAAACAGCCTGACAGCTTGTTCCCGCCTCCCTTTCTATGGGGCGCATGTGGCCTATGTTTGCCTCTGAATACTGACCTTTGCCTCCTGGGCATTGTACATCGTTAGCCCCAGGCCACTTCCGCCACTCCTAGTCCCTCAAGTAAGGATTAGCCCCCAAACATTTCCCCCTCCATAGTTAATTAAACGGGAATAAAACTATTCTGCCTTTAATCCCCACCCCAACAACAACCACAACTTCTCGTCGTTCGGGGAGACAGCGGGTGGGTCGGCACCACTTTATCCTCGGCGCTCCCGAGGACCCCCATCGCTCCCTCAAGAAGCTCACCGCTCCCTCGCCCCGACCACACCCGCCTCCTCACATTCAAACTGCCTATGCAACCGTTGGAGGTAGCACGATGACAGAGACCCTCCCCCCTCCCTCTATTTTTAAATCCGGGTACCTGGAGTCAGTCACTCGAGTGAAAGTCCCCAACCGAGAGCGCTCTACTCTTCAGGCGCTAAGAATCAGATGGCCCTCTCACAGATTGGCTACCCCGCCAGCCTATCGAGAAGCCGACTCGCCCTTTCCTGCTGATTGGCAGGAGCCTCACCCAATCGCGTTGGAAAACTGCAAGGAGGGGAGGTTAAGGGAAACGGGAGGCGGAGCCAATGCAAATAAAAAAAGGCGGGTTGTGCTATTCTACCCCGCCCCGCCCCTCCCCAGGTTGCGCAAGGTTGGCCGGTCAGGAGTTTCTCGGGCGCCATTTTTGAATGTAGTCGACTGGGTGGGGACGGAGTGGCGGTTATCCCTGGAATATGGGTGTCACGGGGCGGGTGGAGGAGCGGCGGGCCGTTCCGCCAACATGGAGAGGGCCAGAGCTAAGCCTCTGGCTGTTGCTGGAGCCGCGGTTTGTTGCTTAGAAAGGAAGCCGCGATAAATAATTGGGCCTGGTTATAGGAGAGGGCCGTGAGACACGGGCGCCTCGTCACAGAGATATGCGGGTGCCAGTCCCCATTGTCGTGAGGGGCGCTGGCGTCACGCATGTCTCCCCGAGCGCCAAGGGAAGGCCCGCAGCAGGGGCTGAGGGAGGAGCTGGTTAGAGCCACCTGCGGGTAAGAGACGGGACGGGAAGCCAACGCGGGTTGGCTGCGAACCTTTCCCCTCTGGGTTTAGGTAGGGTTGCCATACGTCAACAACTTCGCCAAAAAGAAAAGCTCAACAACTTTTGTGTCCGGATTTTCACTTTTTGAAATATGTCAACTCTAGGTGAACTGGAAATAGCAGGATCAAAAGCCTGTCAGGAAGGGTGCGGTCTCGGAAAGTATCTGCCTTCTATGCAGGAAGTCCAAGCTCTTGGCGTGAATGCCCGTCGCCTTGTTGCCTCATTTCCTTACCCACTCTTCTGATAGCCATTGATCTTGGCTGATCCACCACCCACAGGTCGTCTGGACCTCCAAAAGTCTGTCCTGGCCCATGGATGCTTAGAATTATCTCCCAGTGCACCTGCACGATTCTATCCTATGTCCTTCAAATGAAAATCCCTCCTCCAACCCTGCCTTTGCTTTACTCGGCACACCGATTCTCATGCCCTAATGTGCAATGAAGCACATGCAATTGAAACTTCTGCATATTGCTTCTCTTGTTTGTTTAAAACATTTTTATTCTCTTTAGCCCAAAAAGGCTCTTATAGCGAAGTACAAAATTTTGCTAACACTCCCTGCCCTCGGGTTTACAATCTGCCTCCTTTATTTGTTTTTTCCCTGTGTTGAATATTAGACTATGTTCCTCATGGAAGTAATCTCTCTTCTTGTACTATATTTGCCATGCTATGTAAATTGTGCTGGGAATGATAATGCTGGGAAAGATGATTAGATAGGTTTGTTGTACTTAAATATAAACAGCAGATGCAAGGCCCCTTAGAGAAGCAAGGGCCTGTTCTGTTGATCTCAGTGGAGCAGACACACCTGAAAAGTGAGATCAGCAGCACACCACATAGTTTAGGTGGTTGTAGGGTGGTCCAAAAGGATAAAAGATTTAAAATGATAAAATTATTTTGGACCAATTCAAGGTGGTGTAGATGTTCTGTTAAAATATTGTGTACCATCCTAAGAAGGCCCAATAAAATCTACATTAATATTTTTTTAAGAGGAGTATATTCTGGTAGGTATATTTCAAATTTTGTTTTGGTTTATAAATGACTAGTCATGCTATATTTACATTTTAGGTGATATGTCCAACAAGAACTCAACGGGGTCTGACACAGAAAGTGAACATAATTTTTATTCTGACTGTTGGGAAGAAAGTCTTATACATATCAACAAAGGTAAACTGAAGACCAAACAAAGGAGTACCTTTATTCTAAATTTTTAACTCTATTAATAGATAATTTCTATAGTAGTCAATTTATTGCTGGTATTATAATGATGGTTTCTGTTAACTGCTTTTGAAAACTAACTTTGGTGTGTTTTGTTCAGAAATAATGTTTTTGTTGATAGGTTTTCTTTTTTTTCCCCCAGACTCACTTGACTCTGACAGTGAAAGTGATCTCTATCTTCATTCAAATAGTCAGTGCAGTTTGTTTGAAAAAGAAGGAAAAAGCAAATTGAAAAAAACTTTATTGGTCTCAGAAAAGAGCCTTAGAAAATACTGCAAAAACTGCCCCTTTCTACAACATTTAGAGAACACCACACAGTTTCAAGTGGAATTATCTCCAGAATCTATATTGCAATTAAACTTTAAGGACTTTCAGACAAATGGTCAGTCGTCAAAAGCTTATTCACCCAAAATATTTCCAGATCTTGACAGGTCTTATAGAGACCATTTGTGCTTAAATTGTAGAATCCCTTATGTGACTGTTACTAAGAATTCAGAAAAAGAACAAACCTTTTATACAATTAAGGAAGCTTATGCATTTGATAAGCTACATCAAAATCATCCATCAACTGATTATTATCCCACTTCAAAGCAGAACAAAGCTGTGCAAGTTTCCTTTCCTTGCAAAGAAACGGAAGCTGAGGAAAATGCTGTCTGTGAATTTTTCAAACAATCAGCAATACATTCTGAAGTAGAAGAGACACCAAACAGGAAAGCTATAATATTTCACAGTACTGAAAGTATTTTCAGTAAAAAGACAAATTCTAATGAACTGGTGAAAGACAATTCTGATTACTCTTCAGAAAAGCCTTATAAAACTCACAGTCCCCAGACACCTGAGCAAATCTATTTGCACCCCAGATCTGGAGAACTTGCTATTTCTTTGGTATTAGAAGCAGCATATAGAGATCCATCTGGTTCATCACAAGGAGTTGGTAATTCTTCAAATGTTAGGGTGGGAAAAGAGGATTCACAGAGGCATGCTTTAGCTTTTAAATTTAAAGGCCCGGAATATAACCAGTTGTTTAAGAAGTTGCGTATTTCTATTGTTCCAAGTTCTGTACACTCAGATACAGAGAAGGAAAAACATAATACACCTTTTATAAAGCTGGTAGGGCTTTCACAAATTTTGGTTGATGAGTCCAGACCATCTCTTGCCTCCTATGCTGAATCATCTGAAGCTAGTCAGCCTCTGGCAACTCATCCAGAGCCATCTGAATCCCGAAGCTTCAGCAGTGATTCTGACCAAGTGCTATCTTCACTGGAACTTTGGTCTTCCAGTGGGTTCTTTCCATCACTGAAGCATTCACACACAACTCAGTCTTCTCACTACTTTGTCCAATCATTGCCATGTTACAAGGTTACCCCTGTTCATAGGACTTCTGAAGTTCAGAAAGTTCAACTGAAGGCCTCCAGGCCTGTGAAATCTGTTGTGTTTACCAAAAGCACAAAAGTACAGAAGGACAGGAAACTGCGAGCCAAACCTCATACTTCCAAATTTCAGTGGTCCAAGGCTTTGTATACTGAACCAATAAACCAAAATCCTCAAGCAGCAGAAATAAACAAACCGTATTTTGTACCCTTAACACAGGCTACTAAATGTACCTGCAGCCCATTGCTCGATTTAACTGTTGATTTGCATTCTGAAGAAAAGTATTCTGAAACGCTCCGAAGTGTTCACAGAAAATATTTCAAAAGAACTGGAGGTGGCAAAGTAACTCCTAGATTTTCCTCCTGTTGCCTGCGAAATCCAAATCCTAGAAGCCATTTTGAGAATCTCCAATATATTTCTCCAGGAAGAAAGAAAAGAAATTCAAAGATGCGAAACATACTGAACTATTTAGGTTGGACTGGAGGACAGAAGCCATGTGAAAACTGTAAAGGGGGTGTTTCTCCCACTCTGGATAGTTCAAATATAAAGAGGAATGAGATACGCACTCCACATCCCCCAACTGATGGAAATTCCTTTGCCTCACTTCTTCCAGGTTCAAGGAATAGTCCAGTTCCACTTCCTACTGCACTTTCTCTTTCAAATGAGTGGAGGCATTCATCTGCTCCCTGTATGCAAACTGAAAGAGGCACTTGGAGTCCTGCACTATCCTATTCTGATGCTAAATGTAGCAATTCTCATTCTCCTTGTGCAAATATTAAAGTAGTGCAGCTACCCAGGGAAATGAATATGCTTAAAAATAATGGAGCTGTCCAGATGGCTGGTGGAGGCTTAGCCCCCAGGAAGCATTCAATCTGCCCATGTGGAACTATGTCTCAATGTGGCTTGTTCCCCAATGGAGATATTTCAGAGTTGGTTAAGGAAAAAGCTAGAGGAAGCCCCAATATTAACCCGAGAGCCAATATGACTGAATTCAGCAGGGTGAATTCCCATGCAGGAACCTTCAACACACAGGAAGACTGCTGTGCTAGTTGTCGTCATTTCTCTCCAATGTGTTATTTTCATGATCCACAAGAAATGGCAAGAAATCATTTTACTAAAGTACAGTCCTTCTTTGAGAATGGATGTCCTAGGAACTTGAGAGAAAATGTTGTAGAGAGAAACAAGGCACAGAAAAGAGATGAAAGAAAAAATGTCAGCTTCCATATAGGACCGAGTTATTCACAAGTGACAGGTACACACAATGCATCACTTTCTAATTATGGCTATCAGGCACCTGTTTATCACTCTGAATGCTCAGGCTGTTCATGCTGCCAGAATACTGTTAAAGAACATCTTGACTTAAAACACCAAGTGCTAAAGAACTGCTTAAACAGAGAGAGTGTTTTTCTAGTGGACCCTGGAAAGGGGACTAGAAGCCAGTGCAAATGTTCCCAGGAAATCCCTCTTTTCTGTGCTAACCAAACTGATACGTATGAGGGAAACAGGTGTGATTTCCATGAGAACAGAATCTAACCTTACTCAGGTTTGTACTCGTTTATATATTTTTTGATATATGTGTGGCTATCAAGTTGGAAGGATATAGACGTACTGTACTTTTCTGATCTGCAATTATTCCCCCCCCAATGCCACTGAGAAAGTGGGTGCAAATGATGCTCAAAAAATTGCATGTTTATCTGTAGAAGAAAAGTTTTTTGTTTAGCACACTAGATAGTGAGGAGAACGTTTCCATCCCAGATTTCTTTCTGACATTCTAGTTTTCTATGGACTGGGATTTCCCCCCCCCCCCTTATGGTAAAACATTAAATCTTGTGAACCCCCACCTGTAGCCCTAACACAGATGTACCACTTCAGTGAAAATTAGATCAAAGACTTTATGACTGTCTATAAGGAAGTTCATATGCATTTCTTGTTGAACTAATAACTCTGCAAATTGTGTTTTCTTATTTGAACTTTTCTACCTAACATTGAAGACCAGGACCCTAGTTTAACCTTATCAACTGAGTTCCAGCTCAGATTTTTAATTTTAGTTACCGGTATGTGTTTCTCATATTTTATGAGTTGTCTCAGAAGTTTCATATTGTGGGGGCAAGGCTTAATAAATTGTTTAAAAACATTTGGGCAAATATTCAATGAAAGATAATTCTGGAACCATCAGGCAGCCATTGAGAATGTACACTATACATGGTATAAACTATTACTGTCCATAGTACAGATGGCATTCTAAAAATATATATAGTGCTAATAATGAAATTAAGAATTAACTTATTTTCTGCCAACCTATCCATTAAAAGTACTAATTGGCATTAAAGCAAAAGTGTGGGAACAGGGCATGGGGAGACTTAAACCTATTCCAAACTCCTTTCAGCTTGGTGACATGGCCTTGCAACCCAGCAGAACTTACACTTGCAACGTGGATTGTGTTAAAAAAAACCTTCATTTTAAAGGCTTGTTTTCCCTCAGGCCGGCTTAGCTGGCGGAAACACAACTCTTCAATAGAGTTTGGAATACAGATAATTTAAAATGGCCTAATTTAAGATGGCATAAATTCTGCTGGCTCCCTACAGATTGCTCTGCCAAAGTTGCATTTAACATACAATTGGGAGTCAATATTAAAAGTACACTGTAACTTTAAACATACTTTCTGATGTGAGCTGCTAATAAAAGAACCCAATGCATTCCTCTGTGTAAAGGTAAAGGACCCCTGACCGTTAGGTCCACTTGCGGACAACTCTGGGGTTGCGGCGCTCATCTCGCTCTATAGGCCGAGGGAGCCAGCGTTTGTCCGCAGACAGCTTCTGGGTCATGTGGCCAGCATGACTAAACCGCTTCTGGTGAACCAGAGCAGTGCACGGAAACGCCGTTTACCTTCCTGCCGGAGCGGTACCTATTTATCTACTTGCACTGCGTGCTTTCAAACTGCTAGGTTGGCAGGAGCTGGGACCGAACAACAGGAGCTCACCTGTTGCGGGGATTCGAACCGCCGATCTTCTGATAAGCAAGCCCTAGGCTCTGTGGTTTAGACCACAGCGCCACCCGTGTCCCTAGACAGTGACAAATAGACCTGTCTGTAAGTAGTAGATATTTTTGTTCATCTCTCACTTGTGCTGTTTATTTTTATTAGGGATCTTCACATTTTAACCAAGGATGGAAAAGTCTCGATGGAATCCACAAACGCTGTAAAAAAAGAAGAAGTTGGTACAGTTGTTTTCAATGACAAGTCAGTGTTTTAAAAAATGAAATGTTGACTTGTTGGTATGTGATTTGTAGGGAATATCAATAAATGAAGACCCACAAAGGATAGTCATAATGGGTTGTAGCCAAATAGTGACACATGCAGCTCATGTTGATACTGCATTGCAGTTTCCCCACCAAGCAAAGAAGGATAAACTGTTTGATATACGTGGAGAATAAGAGTGCTTCTAAATTGTTGTTGTTTTGGATTGTGGTTCAGTCCCATAATGGGAAATTCAGGTTACACAGCTGAAATTTATTTGGCATTCTAGCATAGCAACCTTGCCTTCTCCCAGAATTGGACTTTTTGCCATAATGAAAGTGACTGAAAAATGCACTGGAAAGTGTGGATAATGCTTGAAACAACACGGTCTGTTATCTTCACACAGATCAGAATGAAGGCTCAATAAATAATGTCTAACATCCCTGCAAACTTTGTGCAAACAAATGAGGATAAAAGCTCAATGAACAAGTTACCTGGAAGGAACTTTAAGTTTCAATCCTACGCCCGCTTATGGAGGAGTAAGCTCTATTGAAATCAATAGGACTTGTTTCAACAAAGATGTGTAACACTGCACTGTTAGCATCATAATAATGCATATTGTTTATGGTAAATTGCTGAAGTATATATGATATTAGTCTAATACAGCAAAAGCAATGAAGTGTTGTGTGATATCTTGAAGACTAGCAGATTTATGGCATACACATTAGGCAGGGATAGCTCCCTTGACCGTGGCTGGAACTGATGAGAGCTTGGAGTGCAACATTATATTTGGCTGCTCCTAGATTAGAGCCTACAAGATCATATTTTCTTTAGTCCTGTCCCAAATAGTTCTGTGGACTTAACTCTCCTTGAAAGCATGTTCTCCCTAAACAGGAGTATTGGATGAAAAGCTTTTTACCTCTGACCTGCCAGTGAACTGCTGTCAAGCAGCAGTTTGGCAGTCAGTGTTTCCTTCTGTTTTCTCCAGTGCTCCCTGCCAGTCTGCATGTAAGATTCATGTGACTATTTTCACTAGTTATGAATGCCCAGTTCATGAATCCTGAGTCTCATGATCAATTTTTGTATCATCAAGTAGATGTGCAAGTAGACTTTTCTGCATTACCTTGTAGCACCCACATGATGGCAGTATATGAAGGCAAGACCTCTATCTTTCAGGATTATTCTTCAGTATTTACAATATTATTTGAAACTTTCTCTTTTTCTTGTTTCAGTCGCTAAACTTTATAATCTGCACACTGTTCCTGTAAGATAGCTTTACTCAATTAGCTTTGCAGGAGACCTGAGCTTAATAGAAGAGATTTTGTGGCATTACCAGTCTATGCAGATCAATGTAGCTAGTAAATTCACTTGGTCATGAATGATATAAACTGCAGCTGATGTGCATGCTTATGCATTAGCTTTTCCGGGTCTAGGATTCAGTATGGTTGAAATTCAATTTTTGTAACTAGCTGTGACTAATCAAATGATTCACATCACTTCACTATGATCCTATTTAGGTTTACAGTGGATGTTATGGACTGATGGTTTCAGCTGTTCTGTTGAATTTATACTCTTTTGCTGAGTTTCTGTTTAAATCACTAGTTACTTAAAGGAATGTGAAGCTATGGATGGAGAGATCAGTCCAGCTCTTATCTATGTCATTTTCACAGGTGATCATTCATTATTTGTCCATGTTCATCTGTATTTTTAAAAAAATGCAATGAAAATTTGTATTTAAATATCTATTTTCTCATATTACACATTTCTAAATGTATTTTATCTTAAAATAGGCACTTTCATACAAATTTTGGTGTGTCTTTTGAGCCGAAATCTGTATTTCTACATTCAGAGAAGTGTGAAATATCATAGTGAATGTGCATTCCACATGCTCATAGTGTATGTCCTTTAGTTTGGATAAATATTATTAGAATTTACAGCACTCTTCTGTTGACATCATCATTAACATGGTCTCTTTGTTATGGTTGATTGGTCACATTGCCGCTGCCCCCCAAAAAAACTTGATGAAGGGTTGCTCTGTTGTTTTGCTTCAGCTACTCTAGAATCGTTCGTGATCTTATACATAACAGATTCTCACTAAACAACCCATACACCGTCCCAATCATTTGAAATCATCTGCTTTACCTCTGACTGCTAAAGTTTCACTCACATACTTTGAAGTTAGTTTTCTCACTCAGTCATAAAGGTAGAAACTTGTGAAGAAGGAGGAGGAGGCGGAGGAAAGATTCTCAGGGTGCCATATTCACATCATGTCCTTGCCAGATTCTACACTTGGATAGAATCATAGAATTAAAATAGCACTATACTTAGATTTAGGATTACAAATTATTATCAGAACTGAATGGGGTCAAAAAGCCATCTAATTACAACCACACAAAGCCCATTAAGGCCAGGACCATTTATCCTCCAGATCTCTGCCACCGACTACTTTGTTTACACTATCTAGACTACACATGGTAAAAGAGAACAGGCACGACAGAAAAAACACTTGCAGAACACTCTACAGGGTGAAGGTGAAAAGTAAATTAGATCCCTTCTCAGATTTCTTCTGATTTTTAAGTTTTCAGGGTGGTTTCATAATATGAACCACCTAAGTTTCTAAAAATTTAAACACTGTAATATTAAAATTCTCTTATTTTTTTATGCCACAGTCAAATATATTTACCCTGGGCAGCTATTTCAGTGAACTTTACTGTGTGCTTAGGACAGCAGCATTAATCATCCTGTTGATAATTCAATATAGCAGAGGGACACACTAAATCTGCTCTTCTGGACAAGGGGAGAGGTGGTTTGGATACTGGAGGGACAGAAGTGATATCTTAGTCATAGGAAGACTACAAGCAGGTAAAGTTTGAATTTACAGTGCCAGGCCTCCCTTTGTAGGGATGGAGGAACAATTTGAATGGTCAGGTGCCAGAGACTTATGGAATCTGATGGATTTCTGAATGTGCTGGGGGATTTTTCAGTAGCCAAAGCTGATAAACCTGTAGAAGCCTTTACCTCGTTTAATATGATGCAGTGAGGATCTATTGACAAAATTGCTCCAGATTACACAGGTTTTGAAGATGGATCTGTTTACACAGGCATTCTCATCTTTTAGTTTCTCTTTTAGTTGCTGTGCTGGTCTAATGAGATGGTTTTCCAGATATTTTAATCATGGATATTTATCTTTTAATGTTTTAGTGGGATTTTAGAGGGGGTTTAGTGAGATTGTTTTATATATCATGGTATAATTATTGTGTATTTTTATTCTTGTATTTTAAAAAAATGTTGTGCAATTGGTGTTTGTTTTATAAACTGCTTAGAATCTGTCCGGTCATAGAGTGGTATATAAATTAATGAAGAAGAAGAAGAAGAACGTACTATGGGCTGTACAGAACCATAGAGTTTATCCTTAGATGCCCATCCTGCTGCTTGTTGTATTGCTCAGCCTGGACAACTTTTAATATTGTTACCCAGAAAACAGCAATCATGCGTCTGCCATGCTGACAGCTAAAGTATATGCTGCTGCCACTTTAAAAGAGTACAGATCTGTAGATGACTGCATTCTTTCTCAGGTCTTTAGCTATATTTTAGCCTTTAATAGTTCTGTTAAGAGGCAGGATGAAAGGTCAATAAGTGATAAGCAGTTGAGTGGGTTGTCACTTCTCTGAGTGTTGCCTATTGACTCTGTGCTCTAAAATGGAATTGTAGGCATGGTTTTGTCTCCAGTTGGTATGGAGACTGGATTGATGTTATAATATCCCTATTTGCTTATGAAAGAAGACTTCAATAATTGAGCTAACTACTTTTCTTAATGTGGCTGAAGTTGATAAAAGTTACCAGCAGATGTAGCAGTGGATGTTACCATCCTGGAAGGGAACAGAATAGAGTCTGTACAAAAGATCAGAACAAAGTCTGCCTCTGGTGACTTGGTCTTGGGCAAAACTGAACTTGTGTGGTTAGATTGAAATGCAAAGCAAAACATATCTGTAGTTGATTTCTCCCCTATTCCTTTTCCAGTCATGGTCAGGGCTTGTTAATAACACAGTTACTGGTATTTGACAATTGCTAAAACTGTCCTCTTAATTGTAGCAGGATTGCCTACTGTGGTATAGTAATCACTAAGACAGTGTTTCCCAACCTTTTTTGGGCAAAGGCACACTTGTTTCATGAAAAAAATCTCGAGGCACACCACCATGCCAGATGGGGAAAGGTCACTTTTTACTTATGTAAAAAAAAATAAAAAAATAGTAACAGCATAGAAGGTAATGGTTATCTCTTTGATGTCTGATGGGAGGGCATTCCACAGGGCGGGCGCCACTACCGAGAAGGCCCTCTGCCTGGTTCCCTGTAACCTCACTTTTCACAGTGAGGGAATTGCCAGAAGGCCCTTGGCACTGGATCTCAGTGTCTGGGCTGAACGATGGTGGCGGAGACGCTACTTCAGGTATACTGGACCGAAACCGCTTAGGGCTTTAAAGGTCAGCACCAACACTTTGAATTGTGCTCGGAAAGGTACTGGGAGCCAATGTAGGTCTTTCAAGACTGTCGTTACGTGGTCTCGGCGGCAGGTAGCAGCGCTCACAGCTTACGGACTGCACCGTGTAACAGGTGTCTGGCCCAGCAGCCTAAGGCGGACAAGCCACTGAAACAGGCATTCAGAATCCATTCATTTCATAAAACCTGCAGGGCTCAATCTCTGTGTTTGTGTATGTGTGTGTTTCTGTTTTGCCCAAGGGTCTGGGGGTGGGAGAGAGCTCTTTAGCATGATGCTTTTAAAACAATTAAATTATCAACAAACAAACCTGATGATACGAATAGCAACGTCAGGTGCTACGGGGGGGGGGAGAAGGGGGCCTACTCAGAAGTAAATACTGCGTCCAGGCGCAATTAGCGCTGATTTAAGGTGCACCAAGACTGCCTAAAAACCTCACCAAAGATATGCAACAAAGCGCTTCGTTGCAGAGGGGAGAGTTTGTGCACCGTGGAGGCTGGAGGGCTTCTATTCTACATGCGGGGGTTGGGGGGGGCGAGGAAAATGTGCTCCGTGGTGGGGCGGGGAAGGCAAAGTTGCAAAAGCGCCCTGCTCCTTCTTCCGCGGAGGGAAACGCTCCTGCGGAGGCGAGAGGCAGCGAGGAGGCGACGAGGTGAGGCTTTTGTGAGGTAAGGAGAGGAAAGACGGGGGAGGGAACCCAAGGAGGATTTGCACGAGAGGGAATGAAGGGGAAACGCGCCTCCCACGTGGAGCACTTTTCCCCGGGAAATGCACAGGGTGGGGTCGTGGCTGATCCGTGCTGCGCGCTCGCGTCGTGCGGCCCAAAGTGCTGCAGGATCGCCAATGCAAGACCCCCTTTTAAAACCTCCCCCTCCCCCAGCTCTGGAAAAAAAGGGGGAAGGGGATGGCGTCGGCGTGCGGAGGCTGCCCGTGCCCAGCCAGGCGTCGGTGGCGGTGTCAGCGCTGCTGCAGTGGCTGCTCCTCCTGCGAGCAGTGAGTGGAGCGCAGCCGCAGCGGCGGCAGGGGGCGCGCGCGCGCTAGGGCGCAAGGCTGGCGGTGGCGGCGGGGAGCCCGGCGGAGGAAGGAACTTGTCCCTTCCCTCTGGACTCGCGCCCCCCGCAGATGTTGCGCCCGGTGCGACTGGCACCCCTGGCACCCCCACGCTACGCCACTACTCCCACGGCACACTAGGCAACGTCCGGCGGCACACTAGTGTGCCGCGGAACACCGGTTGGGAAACACTGCACTAAGATACCTTGCGTGTAATTTTGTAGCCCAGAGAAGAGACAGTAAATTGGCAACAAAATGAAATACAATTACTCTCATTTCATTCATATCAGTGAGTGAGACTGGAATATAAATTTGTGCTGGAGCACTGATCCTCCACGGTATTATCAGCATTTGAAGTATATCTTCTGAAACTACATGCCACAAATCACTTCGGTAGTGCTACCCATGGAAATGCCTGTTCCTTTTATGAAATGGATCTAGACAGCTATCTTTTTTTACACCTAGGAGTTCATTCAAAATATACATTTTTGTAATATTTATTTGACATTCTACTGAAAAAGATACCCTGATCAGAAAATAGTTGCTTATATATTTTATTAACACTGGAAAGGAATTCATGTCAGAAGATTGTGGTGTTTTTGCACCTTTTAATTTTATATATATCAGATATAAAGCATTTACCTTGTTATAATCTGTTTGCTAAGATATCTAATCTTTATGATAACAAAATTGAAATGTAAATTAAGTAGATAGTGTCCAATGATAATACTTTTATTAATCAAGATTATTACCTGCTATGTTTGTTTATTGTGTATTAAGTTTTATGTATATTTTGTATATTTATGTTTTATAATAGTAATAATAGTAATAAGCTGTTCTGGATAAGTTCTGTTGGAAGAGGGAGAAGATAATTGAGGAAGGCAAAATTGCATAAGGTGGGATGGAAAGAAAAAGAGTCAACAAAATTGTCACTCACCAAACTTAAACTGTGAAAAAGACTGAATTGAAAATGGAGACAATAGATGTACTGCTCCCTGTTTATCTGTTTGCTTTGTAACACAAAAACCATAATAAAAACCCATTAAAACAAAAAGCAGAATTGGCACCATTGTAAAAATACTCTATGTCATCTGAAGAGGCTAATATGTTTTCTGAGACCACACACTTTTAGCAAGGTTTAGACATTTTATTTTCCAAATGCTTGTTGTGGTGATAGATATTTCAAAAAGCTGCCTCATGTCTCAGATGGTTAGTGCCTCTTGTGTCTCTGTACAGTACGTAACATAACAAGGAACACTTACTTAAGGAAGGCTGAAAGTATCACTTAAATAGGTGAACTGATGTTGGCGGGATTAATTAAATGAGATGGGATAATTGTAGAACCATAATAATTTATCAGTCACTTGATTAATTGATCATTTTAAAACTTGGAT